TGAATTGAAGCCAGCTAATTGCTAACACTACACAGTTTCTTTGGCCCCAGCTCAAGCTTATTCGCAGCTTCCCAGCTATCCCAAGGACCTTCTCGCCGTCGAGATTGGCGTAAAAGAGTGATGATGCGCTGAACCAAGATGGGGTCCTCGCAGAATGTCGCTGTAAAAAACAGCGAAGGAATCGTGTCGCTATCCAGCGTGAACATTGGCCGTCCCAACCACGATGCCTCCATACTATACAAATGCCCTGCCATGTCCAGGAGCTCATAGTTGAGCCTCGATAACTCTTCGTCGTTGTCTTCAGTCTCTGGAAGTAGGATGATTTCCAGTGCGCATCTGCGAAGCATGAGGACAAGTAGTTCGCGCTGAACTTCCTTCGGTAAACTCCGTGAGTCGGCCAAAGCTGAGACGAGGAGGTCGAACTTCTTCTTCCAACGCTCGAAAGATGCGGTGAGCTCTATCGTTTCGCTATCTGGACTACGATCTATCGTAGTCTCTTCATCTCCATCACAACCAGGATCGGTATTGAACAGCCTGATTTCCAGGTCCCACAAGGCCTCTTTGCATTCTGCAACGCTTGGAAACGGTGTCTGCTCTTCCTCAATCTCAATCAATGGCGTGGCATATGGCGTCATGTCGGAGATGACGTCTTCATCGTCAACGAGCATGGCTGCGTCCACACCGAAGCGAAGTAACACGGTCCCGATCTCCTGCATCAGCTGTTTCGAGTCGCTTGAAGCGGCCGACAGGTTGCATGTTTCCAACAGACGTGCGCCGGCCCGCATGTGACGAATGCCCTCGTCGAAGCGACCAAGCAAGTTCTCCAAGCAAACAAAGAGTAAACAGCAGGTCAGAATCGTGACCTCAGCATCAACGGTCGTTGACGTCTGGGAATCCTTGATGCACACTAGGTCTCCGATGGCTTTGTTGTAATGCTGTGTAGCAATAACTTCCAGACGGGCCATAGACGCGTTTGTATCTTCCAGAAGAGGCGCTGAAAGCTTTTGGAGGTAGAGCTGATGGGCTGCACCGAGCGCAACCACTGCATGTCGCACCGCAGGCTCGTTATGGCTCATCGGAAGCACTCTTCGGGACCAGAAGTCTTTCGGAGTGGCGAGACGAACGAAATCGACGATGGTGATGGAGCAGAAATGGTAGAAGAAGAGCCGTTCGCGCGCGCTACCGAAAAGGCCAAAGCCAGATCCGACGTCTGGGGATGTGCTACGCGTCTGACGACGAGCGACGGTGCACTTGCTTGCTGCAGAGGCTTGGATGGCTTTCTCTCTAGTAGGTGATTGCTTCTTTTGAGGTGGCAATGGCGCATACCCATCACACTTCACTTGGCCCTCTCTACATCGACGGCAGGTTGGTTTCTCTTCGTCACATTTCTTTCGGCGTATTCTGTAGATCAACACGCGGTATGTCAGTATGTTGAGCCTGATATGTTGGGCGATCGTGGATGCCACGCTGTTTCCAAACACAATTGCGGAACACAAATCCTGGTATGAAGAAACAGGTGGTGCACTGGCGAGATAACGCCCAAACACACTTACTTGCTGCGAAAGCACATTAGCAAAAGCTCCGTTGTGTCGACCACCCAAATTGTCGCGCGCAGAAAGGTCATCTTCGGTGTATAACACGGTGTTTCTTAAGGATCGCAGGTACAAAGGCGATAGAGTGGGAAGAGGGAACGAAAGAAGATGAGGCAGCTGCACTTCACCACGTTTCCGGAGAACGTACCAAGTATTACATCCTGTGCGAACTTTGGGAGAGAAGGTGCGCACTCGAGGGCCCTTTGTCAATACCGGCAAATCCATGATCATGTTATTGGCTGTGGCGTATGTCGGGTACTTCACCTTATAAGTACGAATTCACCCACAAAACTCAAAATGGTTGAGGCGGTGCTATTTTTCACAGAAGCCACAGTCAAAGTAAGGGCTGAGAGGACGCGCAATTGTTAGAAAGAAGAACAAGGAGACGGGAGTCCCGATCATGCGTTCTAGTTCATCTTATCGGCCCGACACGACGACCCTGATTGGCTCCAGCGTATAATCCGCCGGTCGGAAACGCCAATTTGACTGTCATCACCTCCGTCTCCACTGCGACAACACCTGGGCATCCACAACATCCACTGATCTCGTTAACAAGCTACTGGAGTCGACTCATTTCGGGTAACGTTGTGCAAGCTATACGCCGGCTGTATGATGCCTATCTACAGAGAACACAGCCTCCCGAGGTCTTGTCGACGGAACGCCCTTTTCGGAAACGTCATGGCAACAAGATTGGCATCGGCCGGTGACGTCCTCGCTATCGGGAAGCTGTATATAGAGGCAACGTTTAACTGAGTGGAAGATCATCTCGTTCTATATCTAAGATTCGCTCCAGAACGGCCATCCTATAAACACCTGGTGAAGCGTCGGGAACAGTTTACATCCATCGTTCCGAGCAAGCTTCAAGATGCGTTCTCAAGCGCTTCTTGCTCTCTCAGGCCTCTGTAAGTATCAGACCAAGCTTACCCATTACTCAATCGTTTTTCAGATGGACAAAAGCTAATTCAAATCAGGCCTTGCGTGTCCCGCCTTTGCCGGAGTCGTCTCGCGTGGATCAGACGCATCAATCGATCTAACACCAACCAATGCATCTACAACCGGCAAGGTCAAGGCCAATATCCGAGCTGATACCAATCGAGACGGCACGATCGACATCACAGACGTGGAAGACTGCGAGGACTGCGACGGCAAGACCGAGTGGACTGCCGACTATGGCGCCATCTTTCTCCCCAACATTGGAGACACGAACAAGCGTTGCTCTAACGCCCTCCTCAACGGTCCTTCGGTCAGCAACGAGCGAATTGATGCTTGCAACGATGCTTCTGACAATGTCATGCGCTCCGAGCAATATCTCGCTCCGCTCCGCACAGTTCCACTGCCTGAGCTTCCCGATGACGCTCATGGTCGCATCTACATCAAAGATCCCGTGCAGCGCAAGTATGTCCGCATCTTCCACAAGGCGAGCGAAAACAGCACCTGGAGCTATGTCGACGGCAATTCCACTTTCAGCGCAGCCGCTCTGCGTGAGGGTCTTGTCCTCGGTGTTGACGGACGCGACACCCGTCGACCCAATGGCTGGGACGGCCGCGTTACTATTAGCTTCGATGTCGAGAGCTCGATAGGTGCCTCTTCTGATGATGTCATGCTTCGCGCTGCACCTGTCCTCACCCATACTCATCTCGACCCTGTGCAGCAGGTCATTGCTGTCAAAGGTAATGAGACCGGCAATCCATGGATCCTTCGCTTCACCGACGCCCTTCAAACAGCCGTCAACGAGTCTGGCCTCGAAGAGGAACTTTACCTCTTCTCCGGAAGCGATGATATCTGGGCGCAGGACTTCATGGAGCCTGGCTTCGCTTCGATGCCCGGTCCCGACGGACCCATCACCCTGCGTATCATGATCCGTTCTCCCCAGGACGAGCGCGTTGCCGGCAGACAGCTCTTCGAATACTACCGCGACACTGGTATCGGTGCTATCCAGCAGCTTGGTGGTGCCCGCGATGAGATCAACTCCGGTGGTAACATCGAAACTATTCCTCCCTACGAGATTAATGGCACTACTTGGCCTGCCGGTCGTCTGATTCTTGGCAACCATGGCGAGCAGAAACACTTCCTGCTTCCCTTCTTCCAAGCTCAAGAGACACAAGATCCCCTTCTTCTCGATACAGACTGGCTGGTCATCGGCCACGTTGACGAATTTATCCAGTTCATCCCTGTCGATTCGCCTCGTGGTTGGGTCGTTATGGTCACCGATCCCATGATGGGCGTCGAAATGTTCCAGCAGCTAAAGGACAGCGGACACGGCTCAGAGCACGCCTTTTCGCGCAAGAACGATAGCCAATCATTCGCTAACTGCACCTCCGATTTCGCCTGTGCTGCCATTCCCGTTCCGCCAATCACTATCAGTGAGTTGCTTGCCAATGAGGATCTCATGTCTGTGCAGAAGCGCTGCGCCGAGCGTATCGAGGGCAATCTACAGATCCTCAAGGAAGCAACAGGAGTTACTGATGACGAGATTATTCGCCTACCTGAGATGTTTAACGGAAATCCTTTCGGCGATCTTTCCGCAATTCTTTCCGGTAATGCGACAAGTGGCTCGACATTTGGCGGAAACTCTTCCAATAACGCGACAGATGAGCTGAAGGTCGGTGCGCTCTTCCCCGGTGTTATCAACGGCATTGTCTTGACCGACTTTGACACATACATTGCCCCCAACCCCTGGGGTCCCGTTGTGAACGGAACGGATGTTCTTGCCGAGAAGCTCAAGTCGCTGTACGCCAGTGTGGGTATGGATGTCATCTACATCGACGACTGGAACACACATCACAACTTCGGCGGCGAGGTTCACTGCGGTACCAATACCGTGCGCGATATGGATAATGAGTGGTACTCTTCATGGACATTCGATGATTGCGATGATGAAGGAGGAGATGACGATGACGAGGAAGGCGATGGCGAGATTTACTAGGCTTAACTATGTCGTGCAGATACCGGCCATGGCCTTCATAATGCATTCATCTGCTCGTATCCAAATCAGCAGCTCCTTTCACCATTTTTGTCCACGTTTCTACTTGAAAACTATCTCGAAGGCTGCGACGACGTCTCGTCTACTCAGAGTGATCTGTTCGCACATGTAAGTGTATCTAGGTAGCATTCATCTTTGGGGTACTCGGGTCAAAAACGTCGCTTGAGGAAGTAGATCCGCGCGGTGTGAGATACAGTGACTCTCGGTAGCTACAACGTTTCATTTCCTTCATATATCAAATCGCCGATAGGGAATAAGGAACTGCTGCTCTTTCGCACTGGTCGACCTTTCATTGCTATCAACGGAAAAAGCCCGGACCTGTGTGGCCTTTACGCGCCAGCTACTTAAATATGTACCCAGGGAGCTCCACTTTGGAAACGATTTAACTCTCGCAAATACCTCCACCAGGGTTAGATTCTACCCTGATGATCTCGAAGCTCTTGGCGCTCGGTACTGTTCTTCTCGCCTCTGCCACCGCTAACTTCTTCGACTCGTCTTACTCCAATGTCTCCTGCGCTGCTATCGACGAAGACAGGATCGAAACCGCCGTATTAGTTGACACCGAGACGACAGAGCCCGCCGATGACGTTCTATGGAATGCTGCCTTAACCAAAGGCCGGATGTTGATACTAGCCACGAGCTTGAACCTTCCAGAGGCTATTAAACTCTATTTACCAATGGAAACTCCCTGGGATGGAACCCTCAAACGCGAACTAGCACTTTGGGGCTACTCGGAACCTGACTACCCGGAAGTCGAAGACTCTGACGAAAACTGTGTCATGGGGAAAGAAAACCACGGCCTTCAAGATATGCTGAAAGAGCTACATGCAGATGATAGAGATTCACGTGATGGAGGGGACAACATCTGTCACACAATCCAACATCAAGACGGGCCTACCTTGGAGAAAGATGAGAACGGTGAAGTACCAGAAGATCCTAGGGAACAATACTACAAAGTTGAAGGGCGCAGATACAGGGTATGTGGGCACGTAGAATTTGATATGGCTAAAACTTGACGCAATGCAGCTGACATTGCTCTAGGTTACCGGCGCGGATTCCACCATTGGAATAAATCCAAAGGCCGGTATCATCTTCTTTCTGACTCGTGAGAGCCCCGCGTACGCGGCGAGAAAGCTATGGAATGTACCCTCCGTCAAGCCGGACGAAATGCCTGCCCTCAAAAGTAGCTCGGATATTGCCTGGGGTCTCTGGAATAGGCATTGCAAAGAAAGCCTGTCCAACATCAACTACTTCTTCACGGTGGCAGTTGCGAACCCGGAAACGCGTAAGATCATCAGTAGAGCTATGGGACAAAATGCTGTGCCGAATGCGCCAGGATACACCTTCAGAGCTGGGAATGAGAACTTCATCGCTCTGCTGGGTATGTATACGATTGTAGCTTTCTCTGATATGTTCACCAGAAGCTCTCGAATTCTCAACAGTTACAGGATATGCACTAACTACCAGTCTCTAGGATCGCCGAACCTTGTAGCAGTAATGTTCTTCCTCCTCCAACACAAGACTCGGTTTGGCCACAATCGATGGGTTACTGAGATCCGTGTTTTCATACCGAATGGGGATTTCAATAAGGTTTCGATGCTTGTTAAGGTTGAGCGAGCGCCCCCGACAGAACCTCCCGAGCCTATTGAAGATCCAGATTGCGCGGAGAAAAGGTCGTTGAAAAGTGCGCCAGTCTCACCGCTGAAGATCGATAGTTGGAAGGGTGGCGAACGTGCAAATTCCTCCTTCGAGGAGCTGAATTTGGTTAGAAGACATATCATATGGGCTTAGACTCGGTCACAAGCGATAGACGTAGGCTTTACATGGTGAGTTCAAATTAGATGCTTTGGCGACTCCATTGATGGAGCATCTCATACAAGAAAAGAACCGAACATCTATCTCCTGAAAGTTCACATTACCCCAGGATTTTGTCGAACTTATCTTATATACTACTGTAGCCGGCAGAACACGTTTCTACATCTCGATTCTTGTACTTTCACAACATAGCCATTGCGCATTGTTGACACACGAGCTCCTATTCTAGACAGTTAAGTGATTGCTCGCTTCCTTTTCACCCACCACACCACGTTCTCGATCGCGCGTCACCATACCAGGATGCCTACAGAATACGGCGATGAAACCGTTGCTGAGCTCGAATGGCTCCCGCCGAAACAAGAATATATTGCCAATCTACGCTCAGTCGCACCTCCAGCAGACGAGCCAACGTGTGCTATATGTCGTGGTGAGTGGGAGTATCCGGGCCAGGAAGTCGTCGAGCCAAGCCCTCACTGCTCTCGACATCCTCTTCACAAAGACTGTCTTCTCATAACCTTTGCAACGGAAGACGGAGAGGAAGTCAGCAATCTGTGTCCTTTTTGCCGTCGCGAACTCTTCGAGAAGATCACACAGCCGCCTGTGGAGCCCTCGAATAACCAAAACAGTACCTACCAGCAAACTACCCAACTCTATGACGGCCTTGTGGCACTTCATATCCAGATTGAGTACAACGACGACAAAACCGAAGATCCGCAGCTGCTGTATCCTTCTGGCCCGACTATCGAGGACGCATTGCAGAAAGACGGTTTCTGGTCTGCTCTTCCCCGTTTCTTGGACGAATGGTACCACCGCAATGCATCTCAGATTATCGAGCAGACAAAACGCTATAGGAAACCACTTTCGATCGTAGATGCGGGTCGCGCAGTGTTTACTGAGCTTTTTGGTTATGCCGAACCACCGTCTCGCAAGATTACAGGTCTCACGGACGAAGGTCGCGCAGCTATCACTGCGCTCTTTGTGCACGAAACCGACAAGTCAGAGCTGTGCCTAAAGGCAACAGAGCTACTAGACCACCAACAAGGCGAAATCGTCATGCAATGTATCCGCGCCGCCCTCATGTACTACGACCAGTCTGCCTTCCCCCAATACGTCGAGGATTCGCAGCGCAAAGCTCGTTGGCTCATTGCCTACCACGTCCTTACTTCTCTATTAACAGGACGCAGACGCGCTGATGAGGACTGCTGGTATCGAGGAACAAACATACCCCGCTGGCTCCAGCTGGTCCGTTTCCGTAAGATGCTTTACCGAGGAATCAATCAATGGGCCTCACCGACCTTCTTCGCCAGCCAACGCCCGCTCGAGATAAATTTTCCTTACGGTCACCTTATGGGTGCTATCGAGGGATTCAGCGAACATGACTTATTGGAAATACAGTATTTCCGGCCCACGGATGTAGAGCCGTATCGAACTCGTATTGGACCCATCGCTCGTGGTCATAAGATGATCATAAAGGAGGACACCTCGGTATGTCCTTTAGATCCCAATCTCCCGAGTGGCACTATCTTTCAATTTCTGAAGGACGGAACCTTGACAGCTCGGGAACTCACTCCTGCCTTCCTTCATGACATTTCCTGCAACCGTGAGGAAGGTTTTTTCGATCTCGTTCACGCGAATGGGAGTATTCTGAGGATCATCCGTAGGGTTATGCCGTAGGGACACTAGGGGTAGCTAGGACTCGTGTTGCATGTTGCTACATACATACACTTAATTGTCAACAACTAGATAGCTTCTGAGGCAGTGTATACTTGCCTAGGTACTATCTTCAGCAACTTTTTGCACTATGGGCTTACTAGTTTCCATGCGTATCCGCGATCTCCTTCTGGCCCTTCCTCACCCACGCTTTAAACGGATCCTGCACATCAGGATTCCTCCTCAACTTCTCAATCTGATCTTCGCCCGACGGCACCAAAAGCCCTCTCTTGACCGCATCTCTTTCCTCAATCTCCTCACACCACTTCTTTAGCTTCGGAAACTTGGTCATCTCAATCCCAGCCCATGGTGCCCACCGAACCCATGTAAAGGTCGTGATATCCGCAATACTGTACTTGCCGCGGCCTTTGCCTGCGAGATAATCTCTATCCTGGAGTCGCGTTTCTAGGACCGAGTAAAGCCGCTTTGTTTCGTTTTTGTATCTCTTCGTACCATAGTCAATCTTCTCGGGTGCGTAGCGCACGAAATGGTTCGCTTGTCCTTGCATTGGGCCCACGCCGGCGTTCTGGAAGAAGAGCCACTGTATCATATCCATCCGCTCGTCACTATCCTGGAAGCTGAACTTGAAGTCTTTGTCGTAGTGTTCGGCGATATACAGAAAGATGGCTCCAGATTCAAAGACGGGGTATGAGTCGCGGCTGTGGTCTACAATCGCGGGTATGCGACCGTTGGGGTTGACTTTGAGAAATGAGGCGGATTTCTGCTCATCTTTGGATAGATCGATGGCGGTGGTCTTGTAGGGGATGCCGAGTTCTTCGAGGAAAATGGAGATCTTTTGGCCGTTGGGTGTGGCCGCTGTGAGGAGCTCGATGTTGGGGGTCGTCATTTTTGCGTTTTGGCTCTCACTTTGCAGTATCTCTCGTATGTGAAATTTCTTGAAGAGGAGACAGCGATGCTGCAGTATCACCACTTACATAGATGCGCTATACCCGCACTACCGATGGTCCCGTGGACTCGTATCATGATGACGTATGCTTGAAGTAGCTGAAGAGGACGTCATTAGGGTCTGCTGTTTGACTGGCAGCATTCCGAAGGGAATTGGATGATTCCATCAAAAGAATGCATTCGAATGGAAAGAGCAGTCGTTCAGCTTGCAATGTAACAAAGAAGTGGAGAGCTCTTCCCACTTTCAACGCGCGTTGGCATTCGGGTTAGCGCGGCGCTAGTCCATGCTTAGGTGTCGCGTGCCTTCCGCAACCATCATCACCACGACGCACCACCAAACTTGGTCTCTTGTGACACATGAACTCCTTCCTTCTCTTCTATGCTGCAGGTTCAAACAAAGAGTATAGCTCTCGATCGCCGATAATGTACCGGTTTGCCGATGCACAGCCATGCCGTTCGTTTCGCGCGGTGGTCTGATTTTCTTTCGGCTTTAGTCCCATTTGGCCCAAAACAGCAACCATCATGCCACTTTCAAGAGCAAGATCCAATTGGAACGTAAGAGGACAATGCATGTGACTTGATTTTGAGCGACTTTTGGGTCGTCAAGTGCAGCTTGTATGCGCAGTTGGCGGTCTTCTTCCTTTTACCGCGTATTCCTCCCATTTCACACTCTTTGTTCTTTGCTCAACATCACTTCCGAGGCCTTCGCGATCGGGGAGTCTATCACCATCCGGGTCCACTGGCGCAGGAAGTGTGCCACACAAGTCAAATACGAAAAGACGTCTCCTCCTCACGAAACCCATCCGGGGAATCTGCACCTCAACACATCAACAGACGCTCCTCTCTGTTGAACCCTTCCATTTGATCAGTTCGACAAGCGCCCAGCTCAACCGAGTTCGCCATGATGATAACCCGCACCTTCTCCCTCACAAACTTCCTCATCGGATCTTCAGCGCTCTGCTTCCAAATCTTCGTACTCTACCCATGGCATGAGAAATTAGAAGAGGAGTTCGTGGAACTGAAGAAAGAACACGCAAGGTTACTGGAGGAGACGCACGAAAGACACAGGGGAGAGTTGAGGGGGATTAGAGAACAATTGGAGTTGGCCAACGAGCGGAGGAAGACTGGGAAATTTTGGTAGAATGGTAGGACTGGCATGGCGAAAGAGGAGGAGATGGCAGAAAGGAAGGAGGCTAAGCAGAGAAGTTTGTACTCAGTACCTATCACGATCGCGAGCACCTCATGCTATCGCTACTCGGAGCATAGCATCGGGGTCGAATGGAAAACGGAGTAACGCGCTCCCAATGTGCCTAGATACGCCCAATAGTCCACGATGGATCACCATCATGCGAAAGTCGTATGCGTATCTGAAAACAAACAGGCAGACACAGCCAATATTACATGTAGCGAACAACAAAGTTCACGAAAGCGAATGCATCTATCGAAAAACACCACCTCCGTTCCCTCCGGGAAAACCTTCCTTAGCCCATATAACAACTCAGAAAAGAAAAAAAACTTCACACACAATAAACTACTCCACCACATCGATAACCCTCCCCTTCCAATAGCACCAACGGCTCCCCCTCCCTCCCTCCTGTCAAGTCTGTCAAACGCGGACCCAACTCCGCCACTCGGGGTCCATCCAATCCGTCCTAAACCCACCCTGTCCACCAAACCCACCAACCCAAAAACAGCCCTTCCGAGCGCCGATCTTAGGGGGGGTCCCTTCCGCCCAGCAAACCAGCGGACCAGCAAAACCCCTTACCCATCCTCCTTCTCCACAATGACGCCAGCAAGGCGCGGAAACAGTAATGCAGATTATGGTGATCAGCACGCGCGCCAAACAAACAAAGCGCGTGCAAAAGGGATCAACACGCATGCAGCGTGTGCCGAGCCGCGTGGGTTGACAACTGACGTTTGACGTGCCGCGTGCAGGTAATTAATGATTAATTCGCGGCAGGGCTGGCATGATGATGATGATGATGATGATGATGATGATGATGTGTGGTGCGGGACGGGTTGGCGTGGGATTGATTGCGAGACGCGCGTTTTGCGATTCAGACTGTACAATGAGGCGATTTTCACGTGCGCAGAGATAATGATAGAATGAGGAGAGTTTCGTAGTCATTCGCATTTCAGTAGATAAACGTGAAAGGAGGCGGGCGCTAAGAGACATAGAAAAGCCCATGAAGAGTACAACATGCAGCATTGGAACGGGAAAATGGAATTAGTAGTAGGAAATGTAACGCCTTGGTATAGTAGTGTCGAAGAAAGCTCTCAATCCGAAGCCGTCATGTCTCGGAGAGTGATGAATGGTCCTCCTTAGCAGCACTCGCAGCCCTTTGTGTCCTGCTGCGGATCCGGCTGTCGCCCAGGCCTAGCAACACGCCGCCTGGCCCCTCGATTGTACCTGCGTGTGCTCCCTCCCGCACGAGAACAGATATCTCGCATGCTAAACCCCCAAAATCCGTGCCCCATAAGGAATGTGACCGTGTGCATGGCCGGCTGTGGCTGCGAGCAGCTGTTCGAATCGCGGCTTCCCTGAAACGAAAAAGATGAAAAGTGGTGTTCGCGACAATCCTCATGGCTTATGTCTGAATCTCCTTCTTCTCTGCGCCCTTTGGCCGGAAGACGGCGTCTTGACCTGACATGCGACGTGCGAGTGCGCGGTCCAGCTTTGCTCCCAGCGCCAGCTTGCTCATGTCGTCTGTCTTGCGCTCGTTGAGGGCGTACCGTTGTTGGACCAGGCGCTTGTCTTCGAGGCGGTCGAATCCCGCGTTCCATGTCTTGATGTCGTGTGACTTGGGGTCGCCGGCTGTTGACGAGGCTTGCGAGAGGTGCGAGGGCGCGATGGAGGGTGTGAGGGTGGGTGTGGCGCTGTAGGTGGACATGCGGGTTGATGCGCGGTTGGCGGCCGACTTCTTCTCGTTAGACTGTTGTGCTTGTTCCGACATGGTCGCTGTGTGGTGTGCGTGTTTGTGTTGGTGCGGGCGTGTTGGAGCGCAAAGGCAGGTGTTTGGTGGTGAGTGTGAAGGGAAGGGAAGGCGCAAAGGAGTGAATGTCAAGCACGCAGTGCAGGTGCTCCTCGGCGAGCATCGACCACACGCAGGGGACGTCTGAAACGGGCAGTGGATACGGGAGAATGACTTACGTTGGCGAGCATGGGCCGCGAGGACTCAAGAGAGTTTGTCATGTTGCGCGCCACGGCGAGTCCGGTGGTTAGTACGTGGGCGGGGATAGCGTGCTGCTTGCTAGGTCGCCGGAACTGCAATCGTACGACGGCGATTGAAGGGTATAAGAGAGGGCGCACGCAAACAGAGCAGTCAGAGGCCGGTGTCCGTGCTGGGTCTGTAGAGAAAAGCGAGGAGATGGGTGTTGTAGTCGGTAGAAGTCCTGTGCTCAGCCTGCCTTACTCCTGCGCGTTTCAAAGGGCCCAGATCGGCAAGGGGCGTCGTGAGTAGCAAGATGCACGCGCAGGGGCACCACGGTTAGCGAGTCGCAACGGGCGGCGGTGATGTTTGGTAGGATTCCAAGACGTCAGCCTTGCAGACAAGCAGCGGCATGTGCGTGGTCAAGACGCGTAGCAGAGTCTCGCCGACGAACACGACGCGGTTATGTAGGCAGCGGCGGCTGTAAGCAAGGAAAGAGCGACCCCTCTACCACTGCCACCACCGGCATCATGGCAACCACCAGACGGCTCTGAAACGGCCGCACGTAAGGATACTGCATCTAGGGATACTTGCATTTCGATAAAGTGCTGAGTGAGTTGCATGCAGTCAGCCTCCACTCAAGCCATTCACGCCGACCGCGACACCCGACCAATCCCCTTGACCACCGCCCACGCTTGCATCGCCTATGCCACGTTTTTCTGCGGGAACCCAGAACCCACGTTGGCCGCTACAGGGCCCCGTGTTGCTTAGGTTTAGCTTCGTCTCCACCGGTGCCCGCGCATTGCCGCTCCTGGTTTGGTCATGGCATCAGCCATGCACTTGTTCCCTGACTGAAGAACTCCTTGCATTATCTATGAGACATACATTCCTCGCGAAACGGGAGCAGTGAACATCGACAGTATCGCATACCCCGTCATCCGTCAGCCCGAAATCCTTAGGTTAATCAATGCAGCGTCGGCTTCTTTGAAGTGACTGCAGCTGATCCCTCGCACTAGTTAATCAGCTCGCCCAGGCGTTTGGGCACCGGAGGACGCTGCAGTCTGGCAATGAGCAGCTAAACGTCAAGGCACAGAGTGCCGCCCCCTTTACATTCCAGTTAATCTCGACCACCGCATTTGACATTTGGCGAGCGCATGTGAGAAAATGCACGTCAAAATGATCTTGCAGATGCGTCGCCGATAAGGTTTGCCCGCCCACCAGTAGCCAAAGCAACCCCAAGCTTCAACCCCGTCCCCCATTGCCCATCATCCCGTACGCCTTCCAACCACATCCTCACATGCGCAATCGCCTGCCCAACCCCACATGCTCCCCAAAGCGGCAGCACGACAGAACCTTTCATCCAACGTCCGAGCGCCTGCATGAAAATGCATGCTCACCACGTGGCCGCAACGTGGTTTCCGTGGACGCACGGCCCGCCGCTGTCTGACAATTGCGGGTTCCTGGCACATGGCATCGCGGTGGAGCCAGCGCAAAGGTCGGGCTGCATCGGAGCACCATCCTGGTGGTGAAACCGCTGAGCTATGCATCTCACTGCACGGTGTCGCGCGCATGATCTAGTGCGTAAGCTGTGTTATATCTGAGGCTCACGATGGAGGACGCGAACACTGCATGGTATGTATGTCTTGATGGGCTGGAATGTGGCGTTTGAGGGTCTGGACGAGAGAAAAAGCATGTACGATGGCTTGCGGGTTCGCTTGCCGAAGAGTCTAGACTACGATGCGGGACAGTCTTCATCAACACCGTCTCCAGAGACAAAACATCTCCGAGGATATGGCAAAAGTGACGGAAAAACGCGACTCAGAAACGACTGAATTTGTGTAGATACGAAGTCCGCAGATGAAGTAGATCACAATTTGGTATCGCCGAAAGTACGAGCCTTGACTCGTGCTTCTCCTTACCGCCCATCTACATCGCCATACCGGGCATATGGTCAAGCCCTGAAAGTGATTGTTAGTATGAGAGCATCACAGCACGATTGGAAGAACAACTTACAGCCATCGATATTCTCCTTGATAGCACTCTTGACTTGGCATTGGTTCATGGCCTGAACATTCTGACTCTACAACTCCTTGTTAGCAGCCACACCATGCTTCATGAACCCACACTGCATCACATACCTTCAAAGGTCTTCCATTCTCGCAAGCTTGGAACATGCAGTTGTTGTCCATCGCCTTCTGTAGACTGTCGTCTTTCCAACCAAAGAGGTAATCCGCGTGGGTACCATATCCCTTGTTGTCATTGTAGGAAAGGAAGAAGGGGTTGGAGCCATCCTTGGGCCACATGTTGCTGAACTGAGTCGTATCCCACAGTGTCTCATAGGCAACCTGTGGCATGCGCACTGGGTGCGAAGACGGACATGCGCCGGCAACAGTGAATGCCTCTTTGGCAGTGTTGTACATATGATCTTGGTGGTTGGGGGAGTCGACGTTCTTGCCGTCCCAGCAACTGGGTGTTGATGTTAACGTCAGTATCCTCTCACTTGAACTGTTCACGAGGCAGACACTTACGAGGGGAAGTGGTGCACAGTCATGATGCCACCTTTGCAGGCCTTAGGTGGGAAGTCTGGGCTCTCGGGGAAGCGGGTGTTCTTGTCTTGCAGACACACGAAGCGAAGACCTGGGTGTTTCTTCGCGTCTTCTACCGTGTTGGTTGTAGGCGAACCTACAGTCATTCGGAAGCCCTGAGTGGGTTAGTAGTGTGTTACATGTGCCGCAGTATGACTAACCTTGGGAAAAGCAGTAATCTTCTGGTTACCATTTCCGTTGAAGTCTTGCTGTGTGTAGTAGATGGCTGCGAAGAGGTAGACAAACAGTCAGTGTATTTCTCACCTGCGTGTAGTAAGTTAGAACTCACTCATGCCACCGTTGATGCCGTTCGGCAAGGCGCTGTTCTGCATGATAGGCACTCGCTTGTACGAGCCGTTGGTGTGTTTGAAGAACATCGCAGCGGTCCAGTAATTGCTATTTCTATCAGCTTCAGTTGGAAGACGTGAACAGGCTGCCAAACCTGAAGTCCTCTGAGAACGTGCACGTTGTGCAGGTAGCCAAGGTAGATGGGTCTTCCTGCATAGTCGCATTGAATGCATTGCCACCAACAATTTGATGAACATGAGCTGAAGGAAGTTTACCAGGCTCAACGAGCGGGTCAAGCCGTTGGATGCTCAAGGTTGAGCATCCAAAGCGTAGTGCGGCCTGAGCAGGCACTGCGAGAGCGACGATCTGGTACCACTTCATTGTCGTGTATCTGTGTACGGCTCTTGTGGGTGGATTCTTGCTGGAAGATGCGCGAAGGACCGCCTACGATCTTAAGCTGAAGGATTGTCAATAGCTTCGAGTCTTGGTATCTTGCTGTCAACCCTGCTTCATGGCATCGATGGTGTCTGGTGTGGATATGCTTTATCCGTTGATTAAAGACCTCTGCATGTGACCAATAGCGGCTTTGACTTTGAGAAATCCCCGCGTTAATGTTGAAGACCTAGCCACAGTGCTACACCATTGCAATCAATTCCAGATTTCGGCACTTGTCTCCCGCGTAAACCTCCGAGAGGCACGGCACTTCTCGTTTGGAACGGACAGGGAGATTGTCGCCATTCGCATTGTAGAGAGAGGTGAGAATCGCGCACGATGTCGTCAATGAACGTACGTCTAGATAGACAGAGGAAGACCTGTGCAACAATACCGCGTGCACCGACACTCGCTCTCTCCGAGTGTCTTCAATAACCACTCTAGCTTCCTGCTACGCAGTGTTGCGCGTGACAAGTCATGAAGAGCTGAAGTCGCAAAGGTGCTATACGGCAGATGTCACCCCCGAATTAGTAGCCTTGGTACCTCAAATAGAGACTTCTACCGCCGATCAGTCGAGCATTGTAGGAGCTTCCATGGAATCATGAGCATCCAGTTTCTATGGTTCGTGGCACCCTGCCAAGATCGGTATCATGTCAGCGACACTGTAGAGGCCGTTGAATATCCATGCGAGGAACTGATTGGTAATGGCTGCCATGGTACGGGTGTCGCGTATAGTGATAACCCCCAGCGATTTCGTGGCGAGAATTGACGAATCTGAACGGGATTGCAATGCAGTACCGCCATTCTGATAAGCCGGCAAGGAAGTTGAGTGACGGGACGAGTGAACCGGAAGAAGGCGACGTCATGTGTGCCATGATCGCGGGTAGGATCGGTGCGCTCGAGATCTGATGGTAGCTCAGGTGGATGCATGCGCAGACCAGAGTCATCAACAAAACCACGCCGCCATGCCCAACACCAAACCTCAGACCATGTCCCCACATCTCGCGCTCCGCAGTCCAGAACACCGGGGCACGCTTGACGTAATCGGCGACGTTGAAAAGGGTGCAGGTGCGCGCGCTACCATGTTCCGAAAGCTTATTGTGTGCCTGACAAGGAGGGGTAAAATTGGGCGAACGACGTTCGCTACAATCCATGGCTTGGCGCACCCGCCTGCCTATCACGGACACGCAGGAGCGCCTGGTATGGGATACACACCTTATCGCAGTTTTGGGAACGGGGGGATATGAGATGGAAGGGACGTGCATTAGATAGTGATGCATCTTGCAGTGCTTTCGATCATCAATCCTGTGATAATTCCGCGAGCCAGATCACTGATGGTTGGCAAGGCACCCTTTGATCAGCCTGCACACAACCTTGGAAGGGATCCAGCTGTCAGGCACCTTCTAATGGCGAGCGTGTAGCAATGCGACCATGCCGTCTACGCAACAATCAAGAGAATGCGCCGTCCGCCTCAAGTTGCGATATGGCTCTGATCAACATATACACATGTCTCATTCACACAAGACAGAGTTCAGCTCGTCACTTCTACTTCCTTTCGTGCAACCCAAACACAACCGCCGTAAACTGCGATCATGCTAGAACACCGTCAGGAACACCAGACACCACCTGAACCGTCTCACAACCTCAAGCAAACAAAGTCATGCCTTCATCTTTATCACAAGATCTTCATCACGCTCATATATATCTAGTTCTTCTGACTATCATCATCATCAGGCTCACATCATCTCCAGGGCACCCGTTTCTTCCTGCATAAAAGGAGAGCCTACCAGCTCGCTCACCTAACCGTTCCACCATCACCGACTTCCTTGCGAAGCAATGGCTCAAGACAATCCCAACCGGCGCGTATCCACTAATCAAGCCGCACCCGCTCCTATAACCAGGAGGAGCAAGCTGTACACTGGAGCCTTGCACACTCAGCCCATCCAAAACCCACGAGATATACCAGGAAGGAACGAGGGTCCTCTTCCACGGTCCACTGCATCCAACCAAGACCTTAATCACACCCAGCCTCCGCGTAAAGGCGTCCGCGGCGATATACCCCAGTCGCCCAACCACCGCAATCACCGACGATTTCAACGTGTAGACAACAGCAACCCTCCCCGACGAGCCCACAGGAACTTCCCACGCCGACCTCGCCATGTCCGACACTGGAAGAACACCGCACCGTGGCGCCTCAAGAAGGTTTCCAACGTGACCTATGTATGCTGTCACTGCGGTAACGGCGAGGACGTCTCCGACACTTTCCGCGATACGTCCGTCAAGGTTAGACGACACAAGTACGAGATGTATGAGGGTATCCGCGAGATGTTCGAAGGTTACGCGAATGTCCCGGAGACCACCGTCGTGATCCACGGAATCGTTTGTGACCTACCCGCCGGGTTCTACCAGCCTGCTCCCAGGATGATCTACAACGGGATTAGGCGAACGGAGTACAACCCAGAACGAGAAGTTTGGGGAAAAGGCAGGTGTCAAGGTAGGAATGGAAACAGGAATTGTGGCCATAGGCAGTGTGCGGCATGTCCTGTGATTCGCGAAGAGGAGTGGGAGAAGGTGCTTGCGCCAGGGAAGAAGGGTGGGAAGAGGAGCCATGATCGGGGGCCTAGGTCCAAGTATGTTATGCCTGCAGCTACTGAGTGAAGTGCTAGGAGGAAGGTGGTTATCGAATCATGTATGATACTCCATAGTAATGAGACAAGACAATAGAAACTTTCCATAGGATACATACTCCACAACACCAAGCTTCACATCCAAAGCTACCCCACCACCCCAGCAAAGTCCACAAGCTCAACAAGCACATTACACACGCCATCAGCCCAAACAGCAAAAGCCTTCTCCCTTAGCACACTATACCAATCATCCGCGTTGCGAATATCACGCCATCCCTGCGGACCGACAGACTTGATAGCGTAACGGGGAAGAGACGTGGTTTCCGCATGACTATCGACAGGGACGACGGGGTGAGTGCTCACTGCCGAAGTGGGTGTGGGAAGGATAGAAGCGTGTTCATCTTCGGAAGATTGAGGGAGACCGTTGAATGGAGACGATGTTCCGTGGAGAGCATGCTCTGTCTGCAGTGCGTTTGCGGCAGCAGCGAGCCCACGAAGATTGTCTGTGCCGGGTTCATTGTCTCGAAATCCGACACCAACGCTGAGTTCGGGGTACCTGTCCTTGGCGGCTTTGAGGATGAGGATGACCTCTCTCATGAAGTCATTGTAGTCATACCATGCCAGGTGTGTCTGTGGTTCGGCTGTGATGCGCTTCTCGTCGAGCTTGATGCCAGGTCTGCCGCTCGAGGAGGCAAGTACGAGGAAGATGTTGATGTGGGAGAGATTGGGTTCGGTAGGGCTGGTCGTGGGTAACTGTTTGGTGGGTTAGCAGCGTCAATCATACTAAGAGCATGAAGGGATCGACCTTACCTTCAAACTTGGCTGTGTGGTTGCGTTGGACTCTACAGCTTCTCTGGAATCCGACTTTTCATCCTTGCCGTTGAAGGAAAGCTGCGGCGTCACGGTTGTGAGTCGTGTCGATGAAGCTGTCTGCTGTGATGGCGTTGGATGTTGTTCCAAACTGTGATCGAAGACCGGCTGTTGATGCTGCTCGACTCCACGTCCTGGATCATCATCGCCTTGCTGGAGCACAGCTTCGGCACTACCTTCTTTGTCTTTCTTCTTCGCGCCGCCCTTCCTAGTCTCGATCGCATACTGTCGCTGCCGCTCGTTCGTGACCATTCGTCGCATCAACGGAGTAACGAGGCTAATAATCTTGTTCCCGTCCTTTGGCCATGTCAGTCTTTCCCCAGCATCAGGAGTCTTGTCTTCTCCTAGTGCGCGTGCAGCTTCAATCGCGTCCTTCTCGCCTGGCTTCTCCACATCTTCGCCAAAGAACTGCTCGCCAACGCCTTCGTTCAGGAAGTCCCGGACGCAGTTGAAGAGCCGCAACTTGACCATGTCGGTATCGCCTTTACCACGGTTTCCAACGCAGCTCTGCCGCTCAGGATGTGTTGTGTCGAGCATGTAGCCTTTTGCCAAAGCTTGTAGTTGAAGGAAGTTCTCTGGGCTTAACTGAAGGGACATGAACAGCTTCGACATTGGCGGTCGTGTGTACTTGCGAGACGTTCTTTCAGAGGAGCGGCGGAAGAGAGCGGCGGCTGAGTGTACACCTGCGGCACGGGCATCGTTCAATAGAGACTCACTAGAAGGCGGCACAGTGTCGTCGACAGAGTCACCATGCATATTATGGCCATGGTCCTGAAGCCGAGGATCGGTAGATCCGCCGGTTCTGCGTCGCTTAGAATTGACGGGTCTATCGGCATGATACGATGCGTCCTCGGCCGGGGAGCTGGTACGTCTTCTTCTCTTGCCTCTATCCTGTAGTGGGAGAGTCACCGTTCCAGCATCTCCAGTATCCATAGCATATGCCACCTGACCTGCGGCTGTCGCAGCCTCCAGCAACTCAACGAGGTTATGGTTCTCCTCCAGTGTGTGATCGTCTGACGTCTGACGGGCAGTGTGTTCGGCGAACAGGTGTGAGTTGAGATGATGTTGGGGCGGCGATGCGAGGGGAGCGGGAGCAGACAAGTCATATTCATCGTCGTCGGACACGAATGGGGGCGGTGCACCGTTTGTACTGTTGGGCGTGGTGACGAACTGGCCGGGGCGCATCTGGTAGTATGGCGCGTCGACGTTTGCCCGCATCGTGGTTCGTATCCCCCGAGATAAGACGGGCCAGACGGTAGGAGCCAAACAGGGCTGGGAGGGATCGGTCGTATGAGCTGTCAATGCACAGATGGTAAGTCTTTGGGTCAAATGTTGAGTTGGAGACGGCAACTGAGTTCATGCAACTTGGACTGCGAGTGGAAAACGACTCGATACGTCTACATGGCGAGCGCGACACCGAATCTCTTTTGTATGCAAGCGCCCATGAGGTTTGGTTTGACACCGAAGCAGCGACATGTTTTGGTTTGAGCGCAAGAGGGCAGCATTTGCGATTCGATGGAGAGGGCAAAGCATGGTTTGACCCGACAAGAGGAGAGGGTGGAGTGCAGTTTGATCCGTCTCGGCGACGTAAGCTGGCATCGAGGTGCGGAGATTAGGATCGTGGTTTGGTTTGACGCGAGATGGTAGGAATCAGATCAGCAGACACACCTGATTGCTGTCGTGTGAGAACGACAAGCGGGCCGGCCAGCGGGCCAAATCAACTCGGGATGGGGTTGAGTTTGCTTTGTTTGCACGATGACGCGCGCGCATGTGACTGAGCTCGGACGATTAGATAAGCCGCCTTCCCAACGCGCCCATCTGAACATAAACGGAGAGAGGGCGACCTCAATTCTTCGCATGATGGAATGGTAACACTGAGGAACTTGAGTATGCTGTGAACGTAGTGTATGATATTTGATCCACCTTCTTACAACAGTATCCCATCCCTAGATAGCATGCTAAAACGCCCTTCTAAGACCATAGAAAATCAACGCCATACAGCACGACATGATACGCCGGCCAAAAACCCAGGGTATCAAGAAGAGTATCTAAAAACCATCCCCCTCATGCCATTCTCTCCCCAACTCCTCAGCCCTCATCCTCGGATCCTGCCCCCTCACCTCAGCATCATGTTTCAGGCTGTCGACAATGGGCCTCAGTCGATCGATCTCCCGCCTAAATTCAGCGTCTTTCCCTACCTCTGGTATTTCCAGATCTTGCAGCTTTGTCTGATCGCCATCTCGAGCTGCTTCTTCAATCGCCTTTCGCTTCTCCTCCCAATCTCTAAGATCCCTTTCTCGGTCGCCGAGTTCGTTCTTGAGGGCAATGAAATTCGCGTATCGCTCTTCGCCGCCAAAACAGGAGCCGTATTGGTCGCAGAAACAGATGTGTTCCTTGGGGCAGACGACGTTCTGGCCCGTGAAGACGAATTGCCATACGTACTCCCAGATGCGTCCGCTGAGACGGTCTTCCAGACGTGTGTTGAATAGCCAATCTCTGTACCAAACGTACTGCGCGTAGGGCTTTGCTTGTATGCGTTCTCGTGAGAGGGCGAATTGTGCGCAGCAAGGTTGTGCGAGAACGGTGGGTACTTCGTCGAGGGGGAAGAGCTCGCTCCACGACTTGGCTAGGAGGACCTCTTCCTGCTTCTGGGGGTCCAGCTCGGTTGCTGCCGGGTGCATCCAATCGGGACAGCCGGGATGCCAGCTGCACCTCATGTTTACGAAGCCTTCTCTCCAAACGCGGGCTCGGTTGAGTCGGCTTATAAGCAGATGCGCGTTGTTGCCGAGGATCTCGTCGTTGTGCCAGGACAACTGGTGCGCGTGCATGAAGATGGCGACGTCGGGGAGGTTGTCGTAGTTGTCAATGATCCATGAGAGATATATCATGACCTCGTGGCCTTTGTTCTTGGGTGGATGTAGCGGTGCGGAGGGGTCGTCGGCTACGTAAACGGCTGTCTGCTGCTCCGGCATCTTGTCTAGGATCCAGTCAACACTCTCATGCTTCGTCTTGGCAATCACCAGTGTCGAGGTATAGTTGTGTTCTGCAGGCATTGGTGAGCCTGGCTTGAATATGGGGGTCGGGTTCCAGTTCGCATAATCTGGGTCTTTGGTCGCATCTTTCGAGGGCTCAACGGTGCCTGTACTCAGAGGTGGCCGCTCGTCACTGCCGATGTGGTCTCCTAGACCGACATGTTGTGGTAGACCCCGCCATGCCTGGCTGGAGTCTATGCCAGCATAGAAGAATGCGACTACGAATAGTGTGAGGATTAGCGCGAGGACTGGAATGACGTTTCGTCGGGTCATCCTGCGTGAGTTGAAAGCGAACGACTGGCAGGGGGCGAAAGGCGTAGGACGCCAAGGTCAGCGTGAGGTCCGGATGGTCTTATACTGTCGCATTGTTAGCCGGGCATATTTGGGATCGGACTTGTCAAGCTCACGGTGCTGGTGGAGTCGCCGCGCGGCAGCTGGGGTTGGTCGAAGGAAAGCTCCGCAGTGACGAACGTGGAACGACGAACGAATGACATAGGCCACCGGAGCGCGTATGAGCAAAGAGGCGTGGCATCGCGAAAAGACCAGATATACAAGACCATGGACTTTGACGCTACACCCAAGTCACAGCGCACAAGACACAGGCGTTGCACCTGTGGCCCGCTACGGACGCCGCAGCGATGGCGACGGATGACTTTGGGCTGAGGTTCGGTCGTGCTAGAAGCCAGAGACGGCCCGCTACCTGCTGCAGGCTGCATCCAACCCTGCATCGGCCTTTCAGTCGGGGCACCCCGCGGCTCCACGCCTGCCGTGGATCTCCAAGAACAGCTTAATTCTTTAGCCAGGCACAAGCGTCGAAGTGTATCTCACTTTGGCATTCTGCATGATCAAAGATGGACTTGGCATGATTGGCATTCTACATGGCTCTACGAAACTGCAAATATTGCAGGGGCTGAGGAGAATTAGCCGCGCATTAGGTTTGACGTTGTCTATTTGATTCATCAAGCGACTGTGGACGCCTCAGAGTCCTACAATGGCGATAACATGTGTGCAACAGAGATGACTAAATCTCTTTGGTCGCGGGAGCATGAAGTGTGATGTTGCGGCGTAGTCGTTGCGCAACGCCTTGCGCCGTGTGCTCATTGCAGCACATACATCTACAAGTTGGTGACGATGCCAACATTCCGCTCTACTGTCGCCAAGATCAAGTAAGTGTTGCGTTCACCAGCTTACCTTATTTTGCAGTCGACGTTTGCATGACTCCGACTCAGCTTGTGAGTGGCATGGTGAGGAAAGCACGAGTGACGAAAAAGGAAGTAACACAAACGAGATTGGAGGGCACGCACCTTCGAATGTACCCCCGGAGCATAGACTTGCACACACCGCCTCGTTTGCATGGAGCAATCGCGACGCATCTGCAAGCTATCATCACGGGCTCTGGCGTCGACTTTGGACCTCAGGCAAGCTGCCCAACTATGCTGTTCGAGCTGCGCGACACCGACACGCAACTGGAATGCTGTGTGGATACATCTCAAGCATCCGTTACGTATCGGAGCGAGTTTACATTGCGAGATGCTGTGATGGTCGGGGGTCGAGCCGGGCAAGCCCATTAATGTTACTGGGTCGGGACTGCGTTGACATGGATGCGTTCATGGTGGATGATAGGAAGAGTATTTAGACAGTGCTGGTCATGCGGAAGGTGGTGTGGACGGGTTACTGGATGTCCAGGTTGCATCGTGAGGCAGTAGATAGAAGTACAATTTGGTGTCGATCAAGATGACTGGTGCTCCCAAGGGCTATAGACGTTGCCCCGAAAGCATTTACCGAAGTGCTGAACCGTTTCTCCAAGGAAATACCGAGCCGACGAAGGGCTAAGACGATGTCGAGCTGCAAGACGCCAGATCATGGTGTGATCTCACCTTGCTGCGAACCATTCGAAGAACTTTTGTCGACCACATTTCCTTTGTGTGCGTGTGAAAGCCGTATTAAACTGAACCCAGTGAAGTAGCCATGGGATTACAGGAATGAAGTGCTGAGAGAGGCGACAAACCGAGGAAGCCATACGAACCCTAACTTAGTACCGCTTGGGTTCTGCCTGTGTCAGCTGAGAGCTAGCGGTATGAGCGATCGTAATCACCCTCGTACGAGCGTCCTCCACCGCCGTACGCCTCGCGCGGAGGAGGGGCGTCGTAGGCGCCAGCAGCTGGGGGCGGGGGCCTATCGTAGTAGCCACCTCCACCACCCCGACGGTCATCGCGTCCGCCATCGCGTCCTCCATCGCGGCCGCCGTCCCTGCCACCGTAGCTGCGGTCAGAAGCATAGCGATCGACGCCACGAGGACCGTAGTCGTCGCGACGACCGCCACCGTAGCCGCGATCGTCGTATCTTGAGCTGCGGGAACCGTAGTCGTCGCGTCGGCCGTAACCGCCGCGGCGGTCATCAGTGTAGCGATCGTTGTAGCGAGGGCCACCGCCCCGGCCGCCACGTCCACCGAACTCTGAAATGTAATTAGCACGGCATGTACGCTGCAGACAGCGAGCAGACTTACCACGCTTGGGCGGGCCGTAGTACTTGCCCGGGGTGGGAGTACGAGGACGCGCACGGCGAGCCTTCTCAATGCTGAGTGTCCGGCCCTGGTGAACCTCTCCTTGTAGACCCTCCTTTGCTGCGTCAGCCTGCTCGGAGGTGACCATCTTGACGAAGCCAAAGCCGCGAGACTCCTTAGTGTGAGGATCGCGCATGATGTTACACTGCTCTACCTCGCCATACTTCTCGAAGAGACGGGTGACTTCTTCTTCGCTGAGAGTAGGATGGATGCCGGTGACGAAGAGATTGGAGCCTGAGTTGCGGCTCTCATCGTCATCGTCCCTGCGCTCTGGCGGCGGGCCACTGGGCATTCGTTAGCGACAATTCCATCTAGACGAGCAAGCAAGCAGATACATACCGGCTGTCGCGGCCGCCAGGTGAGGCACTGCGGGCGCGCGCGCCATCGTCGCGACGGTCACCACGCGGAGACCTGCTGCGGTCGCGTTCATAGCCGCGAGGCTCGTCTGCAGACCAGTCAGTAAGGGCGCTGGCATCACACAGGGCGGGAGACAAACCATCGTAGCCGCGCTGTTCGTTTTCGTACTCCATGGTGATGATGTTGTGGTGGGTCGGGGGAGTTGGTAGTTGGTTGGTTGAGGAGAGGTGTTTGCTGAAGCTGCGAGTTTGGGCAGTTTTTTGGCAGGGCTGATCGACGGTAGCCGCGTCCCTACTTAGTAAGCGCCGCGCTAAGGACAGCTGCGCTGCAAGTGAGTGGAGTAAAAGTGGAAAAGGTGATGGTGAGCGGAGGCCAGATGCTATTTGTAGCTAAATGCGATGTTCGTTCTGTCAAAGGACTGTCCTGACTGTCCTGACGGCAGCTGCGCAGGCTCGAGTGAGGCAACTGCTAGGGGCAAAAGCAGCGCCCTGGTCGCCCTGTCTAAGCCGTCAACGTCAACGTGCGTCAATATTACTAGTGCACCGCCGTTTCCCCTGGAGTGAGGCTCTGCTCTCTCCGCAGAGCACCTTCACGAACGCAGTGAAACATTCGGTCAAGTGAGAATCGATGATGCGCATTACCACCAAGTATATTCATAATCAAGCCAATCGCAATGGGCGCTTCGTTGACCGAACCCCGCTAGACGCCATGCAGAGTCGACCAGCCTTCCTCCAATTACTCCTGCCAGAATGCTCCGCCGAAACAATCCATCGAAGTGCGGTATCATGTTCCAACTCCGAATGTGAACGCCTTGCGCCAGTAGCACCTCATCTACCCATCAAGGTAGGTATGCTGCAAATGCCAATGATAATACAAGACATGGCTCAGGGAGCACATGCCAAAGAAAAGGATAAAAGAAACGTGAACCCAATCATCTACCATCCCCTCGATCTCTTCTGCCTCTTGCGTGCCACCGCTTTCTTGATTGCGGCTACATTCGACTCGGGCGTATCTGTTGGCCGAACTGGATCAGAGTCGGCCAGGCCGTCGAGTTCGTCGTCGTCTAGCTCGCTAAGCTCCTCGCTCATGTCTCGAAGTACCTCACGACCGGTGTACCGTTCTTCGTATACGGTTGTGCCATGTACATCGAAGTGCTCAAAGTACCAGGGAACACCGCCATTACCCAGAGGGTTGAGTAAGTTCTTCTCGGATCTTGGGGGCGTGAGAGGCTCGGGTCGGCCATTAGTCTCCACACGGGCTTCCACCACTGCGTTCTCGGGCTGGTTGCTGGACACGCGAAGAGCATCTTGGCCAAGTTGAATGGCGATGGCCGCCTCGTCTGCCGCCTCGTCATGGGCATGGTGTGTGTGATGTGCGTCTGCGGCGTTCTCGTCCGGTGTGGGCGCAAGCTGCATCTCCTCTGGTTTCTGAGTGAGCACAGCAGCTTCTTCCCCATCAACTGCAATTTCCTGAGCTTCCTCAACAGTTGTCGGGTCGCTTTCCGTCGTTTGTCGCACAGTCTCGTCGTGAGACAGGACGCTCGGCCTGCGTTGCAGCTTCTGGTTGAGGAGTGTCTCCAGGTCCGGTAGTTTTTCGTAAGGCCGACCAGCCAGCTCAGACTCCTTGCGGATCGCGTCCTCAAAGTAAGGTTGTAGGCTTTTGGTGATTCGCTTAACGACCTTCTTCAATTCCTTCTGCTCAGAGCTCAGACTGCTGTGCGCACTCCTGTTCAGCTGATCTTCAGCATCGCCAACGTTGGGGACAGCGGCAGATCCAAGCTCAGCACTCAAGACCGCGGCCACATCGTCGTTGAATGTCTGCACCGAAGTATAGTATTTCTCATCAAGCTTGGTCTGAAGCTTGTTGAATCCGTCGCTGAAGTAGCCTCTGCTATCAAGTCTAATGCGAAGTTAGTAGGGATTCAAGATCTAGAGGTGGATTGCTTACGTTTGTGCTCGCACTAGGATAGGCTGCAGTAGCTGAGGTATTGGGAAGTAGATGCAATCGACGATCTGCTGCAGTATCAAGACGTCCTTGAGCTTCTCAGCTTCTCGCTGTTTGACCATCTCGCAGAGGACACGGATTTGCTCCATGTCATCTTCAAGACGTTCTGCAAACTCAATGCGTCGTTGGAGTCGGGGCCTGCCAGCTGCTCCCATGCCTGCAAAGTTGCGGCGAGTGATCTCCATAGAAGAGAAGGCCTCCATTTGGAGCTGAAGACGCTTGAGAAGGGCCGCACCTCGTCGTGCCTCGCGCTTGAGCGTCCAGTACTTGCAGGCTTCTTGCACGAATTCCTTACGCTTACGTACATTAAACTTGATCAGCGTATTTTCAACGTTGTGGTAGACAGCCTGGGGCACAACCGGAGCTCCAGATGGCAGCCTCCAAGACTTGGTCGATTGCCCACGTTTTCGCTTGTTGGATCCAGGGGTGTCGTCATCCGGTCCTTCGATGGAAGGCATCGCGTGCGAAGATCCAATAGAAAGCGCGTAGGCTTGGCTGTCCGGCCAGCGAATATGACGCATGGTGTGGCGGTAGAAGGCCTTCGCATCTGCGATTGCACTCTCCACATCAAACTCACGCTTCCAGTCGGACGGAGTGTGTCGATCGCAATAGGCCTTGAGCACAGTTGTATCCTGCGGGTTCGATGATTGTGAAGACTTCATGCGCAGACATAGTCTAGCCCTCCGTGCACATGTGACGTGGAAAGCCTCGAAACAGGACTTGTGGCCGCATTGTATACAGGCCCCCATTTTCTGTTTGCAGATATAGCAAGACTATAAAGCAATTAGTGCGCTACTCAAACAACGAGGAATCTTGATCACTTACAAGTTTCCACCTAGTCTTGGGCACTTTCTCAACGTCTTGCACTGGCTCTTGAAATGTCGCATTGCCCAGTGATACCTCTGGTATCCACATGGCGCACAGCAGATGTGCCCACTTCATTGTGGTTGTCTGCTTGAATGCACCGTCTATATTCGGACAGAAAATGCAACCCTGTGAGTGTCAGCATGCATTTGTTAAAGCCGGAGGGAACAGGTCATACCGGAAGCTCGCTGACAGGGGTGCCGCGCCCGACTAGTTGACACCGTCTGCACAGCCACTGTCCCTCTGGGATGAAGGGCACGCCGTAACACTCCTGGTGGACGGCTAAGTCGCAACCATCGCAGAATACTATTGCATTTGTGTTCTCGCAGTCGCCGTCGTCGCAGATGGCGCACTTCGTATCTTGCTCTTCGCCTTGGCCAGCAGGCTCTCCGTTGACAGCAGCTGCACTGCTCGAGCGTGGGCGATGTGTCTGAGGTGGCTTCGGGTTGGGTTTGGGGATGCCTTTCACATGTCAGCCGTTACGTTCGCTTCGTTTTAGCATCACAAAACTTACGCTTTTCCAGCGCGTGCCACTCCTTCTCGATCTGGGTGATGGTTACTTCGAATATCGCAGGCTTGATACCTTCGACACCCTCTTCTTTTCGCTGCACGTTCAGTGCTTCCAGCCACCGGTCGTCTTGCTCATCCATGTCGTACTCGACGCGACCTACAGCAACTGCGCCTGCGGTACCTTCGGCCTCTGTCTGCAGAGTAAGATCCAGATCTTCTTCGATAGAGCCTTCTGGTAGTCTAATGAGGCTATTTTCGGATGGCCTTGTGAAGATCTCGCTCTCTTGGTATCCGATGTTCGCCATGGTCTTGTCGACATAGTTGACCTTGACGCCCTCGCTTTCTTCGTGTTCTTTGAATGGGTCGACTTGACGCACCGATGGCTTGGGCAGATTCAGCTTTTCCCTCGGATTCATAGTCGGAAGGGGGTTGACTCGTGGCCGGGGCGGCGATCCGAGCCCAGCTAGCATAGAGTCTCGGTTGCGAGGCGGTCGACCTGGGCGTCGCTTTGGTGTGACGAAGGCGCCTGAGCCGTTGACGGCTAAGCTTGCGTCCTCCTGCTCTTGCGCGACATCCTCTGCTTGTTGCGTCCGTAGGCCGTCAAGAACCGCGGAGAGACCGCTGTCGACGGCGTACTGGCCCGTCGATGAGCCATTGAGCGGAGTCCCCGGGGCGCTGTCTGCAGGGCTGATGCCATCTATCTGGTCTGCGCTGAAGACGGGGAACTCGGCGTCGATGTCCAGTTCCGGATGAAATTCATCCCAGCTCCGCTCCTCGCGCGGCTTGTATCCATCGTTTTGAGCCACGGCGGCGGCGACTGCGGCGGCCGAACTGGAACGCGGTCCAGCTGGCGGCCTTTCGCGTCGGGGTCTGGTGTATGAGGGTGATGGCGCTGATATGGGCAGGCCCTGCCGCTCGGCGTTGATGCGTCCTACACGGCCACGGGGACCAGTATACGCGTATCCTCCAGGTCCAGTTCCTCCTACGGGCGTCTCCAGCCCCTCGTCATCCACGTATCGTCCCCCGCCTCCTGGTCCGCCTGGAACGTACTTGCGCCGCTTGCTGGCTGGCGCTGAGTCAGATATATGTCGCCGGGGCGGTCGTGTGCTTCTCACGCGTGGTAGTGGTGTGTCAGGAACAGGCGCCATGTAGAAAGTGCGGATGTGTCCAGAGACCCGCAAGGGTGAGGTTGGGCGATCGCGAAATGACGCGCCGGCGCCGGTCCTGTCAGGTGCAAGCTACGGCAAGCGCGTATTCACCCGGCAAATCGAGTGCACTGTGTTCATCGATTCGGGAGCCAGCGGTGGGCGATGGGCGGAGGGGCGTTGGCTGCGAGACAGGCGCGATACCGTGATGCGCCTGCTTGGAGGTGCGAGCTGGGGTCGACTAATGCAGCTAGTGTGCCAAGCAGCATGTGGGCTACCTAGGCAGTTCGTCGCAGCTCCCGTTCACTGCACCCTACCGCGTCGTGTTAAGGCCGATCCGTCACTACCAAGCGCGGCAATCCAGTCGTCTCTGCCGACGTTAGTGACTATCACAACAGGTGTTTCCCGAGTCCGGTTTGCCCTCACGTGCTACCGGAGTTCTTCCCATTTCGCTCAGCCATCTAGAAGGTTTACTGAGTCGCTTTCCGCACAAGGAAATGTAAACCGATTAACAAACATCACTAGTTCAGGTTCGCATTCAACTTCATTTCATGAGTCGCGCAGCCGGGAACATCTGAGTTCCACATGACATCTTGTGTCGGGCCAGGGCTGCAGATCCCACTACCCCAGGTTCTCGACGTCACAAGCGAGCTGGTTCCTGCATGGACACAGTCATTGCGGCCTTGTTCGGCAACTTCATCACCTAAATGTGTCAGCAGTGCTAGCAATCCACCAATCCACCCTGGCTACGATGTTAACAACAAGTTCCGAAGTGTTCTTTTGTCGATCTTTCCACGTCTACTCACAATGCGCATCGTACTACAATCGGAAAGGAGTACAAATCTTTTGCAACTGTCGTTCGGACGGGGTATATGGTTTGCTTCCACTGCAGCAAGCTCGATGCTCATCGCGCATCTCTCGCATAGGGCTGCTTCCATATCGACTATGTAGGCGCGACGCTGTACAAACAAGATCCTCACTTCCACACCACCAGATAGACAGCGCCTGGATCAACTCCGACTGATCTGACTGTACTGCATTCAAGACATGGAATACATTGCGCAAGCCCTACGATATGACGTGTCTACAAAGTAAGAAGACGCCCGAGGCGCTCGTGTCAGCATCATCGAAACTGAGATAAGGCACCAACATTGGAAGCCTCCCTTGTGGCACCACCCGATACTTGCAAATCATAACCATTTAGATCAATACAACACGGCTCATAAAGTAGCAGGCTAAATTATATGGCCCAACAGGCGTCATCCAAGAACAATAGTAAAGCCGGCAGTGATTCGAGTCACGACCATCCCTTGCTCTAGGCCTCGCACCTAAGACCCAGTGTTCCCCAGCGCAACCCTTGCATCAGCATCGGAGAATTCATTATGGCAGACGAAGATTCCACATCCCCAAAGCCATTTCGGGTCATTGTTATTGGGGCAGGTATTGTCGGCTTGTCGCTCTCACACGCTCTACAACTAGCCAATATCGAACATGTCGTCCTCGAAAAGCACGACAAGATTGTTTCACTAAAAGGCGCAGCGCTGATTATCTGGCCGGCTGTCGCACGCATCTTCGACCAATTTGGTATTCTCGATAGAATCACCAAAACCACGTCGCCCGTCGATGCCTCTTACAAACGATGGCCAGACGGAAGTTTGATCTGCCGCGATGATACTATGCAGGCTGTGAGCAAGCTGTACGTTGCCATACTCCTGAGATGTGCATGAAGTGGACGCATCACGCGCTGACCCCACGAAAGCTTCAAAATACCGAGCATTTTGTTCGATCGCCAGACTTGTGTGTCGCATCTATACGAAGGGCTCCCGGATAAGTCCAAGATTCACACCAGCAGGCGCCTTGAACGTATCGAGCAAACCGATACGGGTGTTCGTGTCCACCTAGCCGATGGCTCTATCGAAGAAGGAGACATGGTCATCGGCGCAGATGGTGTGCACAGTCATGTTCGGAAGCTCATGTGGGACCACGCCGACAAGTTCGAACCAGGCAGCATACCCGATACAGACAAAGAAGTCATGTCGTTCGGCGAATACAGAGGTTTGTTTGGTGTCAGCAAGTTACCGGACAATGCACAACTCGGCACCTCCAATACGAATATGATTCTCGGCCAAGACGTTACCATGCTTCTCTTTTCGCAGATGGGAAGGGCTATGTGGGGTATAACTTTCAAAGACGAATTTCAAAAGGCAGAACAGAAAGGTAAAGCTACTGAAGCAGAGATTGAGGCGGTGGCGGAGAGATTCGCCGATCTTCCTATGACAAAAAATATCACACTGGGTGATGTATGGAAGACCAACGAACGGCACGGTCTTCTCTACGTCGAAGAAGGGGTCCTGAGTAAATGGCATGCGGGACGCATAGTTCTCGTAGGAGATTCAGCACACAAAGTACCCGTCCCGGACTCATCATCAGCAGAACGCACCACTAACACAATACCAGATGACAGCCGACCTCGGCATGGGCGCCAACATAGCCGTCGAGTCCGCCATCCACCTCTGCAACATCCTGCACCGCGAATTCGCCTCCAACCCCACCCGCCGCATCTCCACCCCCAATCTCGCCGCCTTGTTCGCCGAATACCAAGCCGGTCGCCACGCACGAGCAAAGGAATACGTCGAGACCAGCGGCAAGCTCACACGTATGAATAGCTACCAGTCACGCTTCAATTACTTCTTTGCTGGGTATCTGCACAAGTACATTGTGCCGTCTCAGAAAGCGGGGCTCATCGAATCGTTGAGTGTGGCGCCTAAACTGGATTATGCGCCGACGAGGACGATTGATGAAAGTGCTGAGGGGTGGCACTGGATGGAGAAGCAAGAGATGAAGAATGGGAAGAAGGGTGGTTGGTTCAAGTACATGGTCTTGACATCGGTTGTGGGGGTGACTGCTGCGTATATGGCGCGTGCGGGGGTACCAGCACTGCTGATGAAGTTGACTGTGTAAAACGTTGCGAATTGAGTGTAATAGTTTTCTTTCCCTGTTCTCGGCTTCGCAAATACTGTCTTTCCAGCTTCCGCCGCGTATAGCAAATCAGCCCTCATTAAGTCCTCCATGACAAACACAATGGCTCCCCGTGTTCCGCGCAAGCGTGCTGGACGCATAATACGGCTTCAAACACTTCCAGCAAAAGTGGACATGGCATTTCGCACCTATCACATTGATCAGCGTTAACGTCACATTTAACAAAAACCCTACCTCTTTCCCTCGTAAAGGTAATATATACGTACATTCCATATGATCACACCCCTTATTCTTCTCAATCGGCCTCTTACACCCCGGACACGCCTTTGTCGTTTTCTCCACCACCTTCCTACTCGCTTCCTCCTCTTCCTTCTTCAGTTTCCCATTTGTTCTGTAGTCGTACTCTGTGCATGTCTCTCCTTTATGCCAGGCCACGTTGTGGACGACACAGGACGTCTTTTCGCAGGTGTTGCACCGGAATTTGGGGGTGTTGGGTAAGTGCACTTGGCCTGCTTTGCAGCCTTTGAGGGGGCACCAGTGGAAGCCCAGGCGGGCTTCTTGCTTGGCGCGGGAGGCGAGAGCGGCGTAGCTGAGGGGGTTGTTAGTGTTTTGGTAGATGGGGTGGGGATGGGCGGGGTGGGGAGGGGACGTACCGTTTGAACACATCCTTTGGCGCAAAGTCTCTCATGTCAGCCGAGCGCAGTTGTGTTTTACATATAGGGCATGTTATGTCGTTCCACAGTTTTGCGCTGGACTCAGATGCGATCCATGTGCGAAGACACTTTCGGCATACGTCGACTTCGTGCTTGCAGTTCTTGGTAGGCGGCCGGTCGGGGAAGTGGTGCAGTGAGAGCGTATTTGTGCATACTGTACAGTCTTTCTTTTCTTTCTCAGGTTGATGCACATCGTTTTGGTGGTGATGGCTGTCTACCCGGTTGAGCGACTTGTGTTTTGTACTGCCGCTCTCGGCTCTTTTGCTGTGGGTGTTGCTGGACTTTGGCTTGTTTGGAGCTTCTTTCTTGGTTCGATGCTTGTCGGATGTTGATGTACGTTCTTTCTTGGCTTTGCCTATGGGTATTACGCGGGTAGGATGTGATTCATGTGAAGAGGCCGACCTGCGGTCTCCACGTCTAGGCCCAGCTGTCACGCCGTTGGAAGCTGCCCGGCTATACCGATGTTGTCCGGTTGAGTCTGCGTCAGAAGAGGAACTATGGCCTCTATCATAACTTTTATTGGATCTTGACTGTCTCGACTTCAATGCAACTACCTTCCCACGTCGCTCATAAGCTGCTTGGATCGTTCGCTGACCGCTCCACGACTGGCCCATGGTTATGTCTGATGTATGAAGAAGCCGTAAGAAACCGGATAAGGATGTTGAGCGTTTTTGAAAGTACTTAGATGATGCTCGATAGCCAGTATCGGTGGAACACAGTGCTTGGGATGAGCGTAGGAAGCCTTTGCGTGGCGGTGCATCCAGACCGGGGTAAAGTCTGCGGTCACGTCGTGGCGGGCGGTGCTCTGGCACCCATGAACTGCATAAATAAATAAGAACTCGAGAGCAGTTGCACAAGTGAGAAGATGTGTGTCGATGTGGGTGTCATTGCGCGCGGGGTCAGCCCACTGCAACCCTTGGAACCGGTCACCAAACCGGTGAGTAAGCTTGTCGGTAATTGGTTATCCACCCTGAAGGACCAGATACTTCCAAGAAGGCTGGGAAACAGTCTCTAATACACTCAGACATGTGCCATAATGGCCGATCAGCCTACTAAGTGACTTCGGAATGTAAAAGCGTTATCCTGCGCTAGTGCTGCGCCACGCTATCGCCTTCAACGATAGAACCAACCCAGTTCATACCGGTTGCCATAACAGTCGAGTTCCCCAGCTTCTGAGTTCACTGGCTTCCTCAGAACTGTAATGTCCCCAGGCCAGTACCCCTCTACATCGGGCTCAGCCTTGCCCATCTCCACTAAATTATTGTATGTGGCCTTCCTTTCTCGCCGAAACTTGCCAATCTCACCCACTACATCGATGAGCGGGATTGTATCATGAGCATTCTTACTTGTGTCTACTGGTAAGACGGGATTGCTAGGTGCAAGCTCCAATCCGCTCATAGCTGCCAAGGGCAGAGTGCGGCCTGGCTCACGACCAGGCTGTCCGCACTCTTCGTCATCGAAGAAGGAGAAGTCATGCGTTGCTGCCTCCCAAAATGCTTCAGAGTCCGCATCTTCAGTAGTTGACTTTGTTGGATAAGCCCGCCAACTGGTAGAGATCTTCTTAGACGCTGACTGTGGGGCCGCCATCTCAAGTACTACTCTCCGAAGGGCAAACTGGTTTCGTGCATACTCTTCTTCTGCTATGGCACGCCTACGTCCTGGCGGTAGCACATAAGTGTGCCTGGCCCGTTGCTTGGCGATTGAAGCCTCCTCGGCTGCATCCTTGATGAACTGTATAATCCGATGAACGATTTTCCTATCGCTGGTCATGGTCGGCACGTCTGTTAGAACGAGAGTGTGAAGCTTCGGAAGCATCCCAGGATTTAGTCGAGGTTCACTTGCTTGGCGAAAGTCCAGTCGGACTTTTCTGTCCTCGATGTAGTAGAACGAATTGCCTCGTGACCTCGTCGTAGTCTTGGGGGTCGGTTGATCCAGTGCACTGCTGCCGTGGGTCGGCGTAGACGATGAAAGACGTTCTCCAGGATCCTGTCTGTTTGCAGCTGCGTGAGGCTGGTAGATCCCGTTTCCCAGTGGGCTAAGAGGGCTCAATGGCGAGTCTACAGGTATGACTTCCGGAGCGCAGGCAGGATCCCGGTTGATTTGTAGTGATTGTGGAGTAACGCATATTTTAGGAACGTTTTTGGCGTCTCGTCTTTCACGATCGGGAAATTCTGATTCTGGCCTGTCGTTTTCAGCGAGTTGAGGCGTTACAGGTGAGCCGGGAAGCTCAACCGGATATGATGAGTCCCCTGAAACCTCGTGTACGGCTAATGGGATGGAGTCGAGTTCGGGTGTCGGTGGCTCTACAGCTTCGAGCTCATGCGCATTTGAAGGTTTGTAGATAGCGAGGTCCCCAGTGAGTTCCGCGCGCGGCGAATTGGGCGTTTCCAAAGGGGCGTCTTCTGTTACCAACTCGTAGTTGATCCGCAAGTATCGCAGTCTAGATGAAGCATACTCTGCAAGTATTGGAGTAAGTTTTGATACGCTAGGTAGTTCCAAGTCATCATTCGGTGTTTCGAGCGTGAGGTTAGACGGATACGTCACTACAGCGGGTAGTATACCCACATCTAGGACTTGCAAGCGTCTTGATCGCAGCAAAGCCGATATACCTTCAACAGTTATTACATTACTGGAGAGATACAAGTGCGAAACTCCGACATCGCTCGACTCCTCAATGCTTAGACTGCCGATGAAGCCGCCTGTAAGCTTCTTGCGAAGATGGCCCACGAGGTTTTCAGATTCAAAGGTCTCTGGTCCATCGGTTGGGTTGGCGTTCTCGACAGGCGCCAGTGGTCCACGAGAAGAATGCGTCACAACAACCCTCTCTTTCAAGCACAGTTCAAGAAGGAGTCGCACGCTAGTGTCCGTCAAAAGGTTGTTGCTGATATCAAGGCTTCTGACGCGGCTGCTGATTGCATGCGCAACTACTGAGAACTCCTCATCCCTGATGCCAATTCCGCGAAGATTCAGCACGCGCAGATTTCGGAGGTACTTGAAGGTGGAAAGAACCGCGTTGTCTCTCGCGGCTGCAGTCTTTGATAGATCCAGCGAGACAAGATCTGGAAAGTGCGGTAAAGCTTCTGCAAGGCCCATCGATGTAGCATTTGTACAGCTGGAAGCATCTAGTAGGCGTAGGCTGAACACCGGATATGCGTTGGGGCGAGTCAACCTCCATTGTAGGCTTGAGTGTCGCAGGCTCAGAAGACATGCGTGATCGAAGAAGGGCAGGCCGTCCACAATCAGGCACTGCAGACGAGGTAGGTGTTCCAAACAGTCTCGAAGCCATTCTGCGTGCGGTCCATCATACAGCTCTGCATGAGCCGGCGGGAAACGGAGAGTATGTGTGAGCTCTCGTACAGAAGCTCGCGCATAAGGTAATGTGCGCTTGAACCGTGTGAGTGCCACTATTGGCTATCAGTATGTATCATAGTCTCTGCGTCTTGATAACACACCATATACAGTATCATTCTGGACCCCAAAGTGCGAAGCCGGGCTACCCCAAAGGTTCGGTGTGAAGGTCTGGTGCCATTGCCGGTTGACCAAAGCTGCTGAGCAGAGGTCTTGAGAGGGCAGATAGGGAGCGACGAGCACCCAAGGATCGCGTCGCATTACACTTTCGTAAGATGGAAGGAGGTCGTCCATGGTTATGAGCGAGCGGAAAGAGCACTTATTGTGATGGCAAGTTCCATTAGTCGCCACTAAAGGTTATGGTGGAGATCGGAAGGAAAGGCGCATGCATCTCTATGGATTCCGACGAAGGTGAGGTGTGCGTGCGCATCTTTCCGTGGATACTGGCAGCTGGCAGGGCTGACTTGTGAGGCTGTGCAAGTGTTGCAGTTTGCCGGGTCACAGCTGCGATGATGCAACAACTGGCCTGACTAACCCGATTGGGCTACCAAGGCTTACTTGCATCTGGCGACAGCACTCACGTTTGAATTTCTCAGTTTATTGAACAATGAATTGCTATGCGATATATCTATCAAATACCATCTTGCCTCTCAAGAGGTGACATCCATAATCTCACTTGCGAACTTACTCCTTGCTCTAATCCTAGGTCCGTAGAACACCAGAATCCACGGCACAATGGTCAACAACGCGCCAATTCCGCCAAGCAGACTGCTCGCAGGACCATACCCAAGCTTGTTATACATTTGGGTCGTGATGAGTGGGAATATGCCACCTGAGATGATATTAGTATGCATCCAGTTGTGATGGATGGAGATGACTTACCAAGCATATTCCGGCAGAAAGACTGCGCCGCCAGTGCCGAACTCGCATAGCGATGATACGTGTCTGCGAGGTAATTGAAGGTCGCCAGGTAGATGCTGAAGATGCCAACGGTAGCGATACCAATCGCAATTGCGGGTACAACCCAATGTATCTCGGGGAAGCTTGTCCATCCGAACATGAAGAGGCCGATGGGCATGCAAGCGCTTTCTATGCAAGCGAAGTAAAGGCGACCTTCTGGCGTGCCGGTCAACTTCCCGCTCTTCTTTGCGATTTTCTCTTGATAAATAGATAGTATGGTCGACAGGATACTGGCGATTCCCATCGACGCGAAGACCGCGTTGGCTTGTTGTAGCGAGAAGCCATGGTTGTTTTGGAATACTAGCGGGATTGCTGCCAACGTGAGGTAGAGAACAGCCCAGGAGAAGGCTACCCAGAGGGAGAACCAGAACACAACAGGTTCGGTGAAGAGAAGATGGAATGGGCGGTAGAGAGAAACTCCTATCATCTTGCCAAGCGAAGCTCGTTCTTCATCAGATCGCACCTTCCACCTCAAACGCAGCGATTCCATGGATCCTGGCTTTTCGGTGTTGTTGACATTAAAGCCGTAATAGCCGGATTGCTCGCATGCCTCATACCACTTGTTCAAAGCTTTGGCTTTCCTGGACAGGAGAACCGAGCCGCGGGTCTCCTTGAATACGACACATATCAGCACGACCACCGCCCCGCATGAAATGGCCTGTACGTAGAAGATCCACCTCCAAGTTGTGTTCTGCGCGATGAAGCCACATACTAAAGGTCCCCATGAAGTACCAAACAGAGCAGCACCCGAGAAGAGAGCCATGGGTGTGTTCCGATCCTCAGCATGGTAGATGTCTGAGACCACGCCACCAACCATAGTGGAGAAGGTAGATCCGCCCACGCCCAAGAAGAAGCGCGCGACGAGCATGCCAGCATATGACTGTGTGAGGCCAGAGCAGAGCTGGCAGATGACGAATAAAATGCCTGAAGCGAGGAAGACTGGCCGGCGACCGTTGATCTCAGAAAACGGGGCAAGAACCATCGGCGCGATAGCGAATCCTGTGGTGAAGGTCGTGATGCCGACCAGCGCTGCAACACTGCTGACACCCCATTCCTGCGTCATCTGCTCAACGCCGGGGCTGTAAGCGCCAGCCGAGAACGCTGTGAGAGCGGTGATGATGCATGAGACACATATCGTGAATCTCTTTCTTGTCTCTGACCAGTCGAAAGGGTTTGTGTATTTGACGAGGTTCGGAGGTTCAGGTGGCGCTTCTTGGTCGGTTTGAGTCGAATATATCGTGGTCGCGTGTGGGAGTTCGGTGTCGAATGTGAGATAACGCCAAACAATTTCCGAGTCCTGCACGTTCTCTTGCGGTATGAACTCGCTACTGGTGCTTTGTTTTCCATAATGGGAGTCTGTCTCTGGGTCGTTATCTGGTTCCGCTGTGGAATTTCGATCCCTCGGTTCCTCTGCGGAAGGCCTGCGCATACCCGGCAATATGCTTATTCCCGCTTGGCTTTCAGAATCTGCGCACTCTCCGAGCTCAGAGTCTCTCGGGAGGTTGATCTCCGGGTTTGCACTCATGCTGCCATAAGGTCCTTCTCTTCTTTTGAAATGTCGAAGAGCTACAGCGAGGATTTCGCAATGAACGCGTCAGAGTCTAAAAGCAAGCGTGAACCCGGTGACGCTGAAAAGCGCGACCTTCATAGCTTAAGCGGCGGTTAGGTCTGGTCCGCTAACCCACAGGCGTAGCCGATATGCATCCCAACGAACAACTGGACGGTGTGGGACGCCCGGTTCTCTCCCGACGGGATTCGTAGAAATCGTTTGCATTGGTCGGGAATAGGACTCCTTCTCCATCTTCCAGGCCCACATGCATGGGGGCGTCCCGCTTCGGGGTAAACTTGGGAATTTATCGTGTACACCGACATGCCAAGGCCGCCTCGAAGTCTCTGGCTGCTGGAGCGCGTGCAGAAGAGGGTAGATCCGGTGCGTCATGCGGGAAGGAGTCTGGCGCGCCTCAAGCAAAGGCATCTCGACTCGGACAAGCAAATGGCTCCCCGACATCATCGGCGGGAAGTATCGGCACCTGGGCAAAAGCAAGCAGCCTCATTGTCGCTCGATCCTGCGATAAACAGCACAGATATGCATCGTGTCCTTGATGAGTCGCCGCAAGGGAGCCAGCTCGGAAGTTCGGCCCAAATTCACTTTGAGGCTCCAGGCGAGAAGAAAGAGGACCCTGCCGAGGTTGCCGATACGAAGCTGTACTAGGAGGGAGTAGCGACGTTGGACGCGTGTGTAACATATGGAGGTGTAGTCAGGTGGCTACTCGCTGTGTCTGCCACAAGCGTGACGTCGCGACATTAGAGTTCGCGCGACGCGTGCGAACGGCGTGTGTGTTCAGGCGGGCAGTCACGAAATTCTTGCCGCCATGAAGCTACCCATCTTAGAAGAGTTTCGCGTAACCTCCACACTGCCAGCTGGTGCTAATGTTTGTGAAAGCGCACTTGTTGGAAGAGTGCGACTTCCCCAATCGTTCGGTTGAGCGACACAGCCCAACATCCCGCCTCAATAGCGAAGGGACCTGTTTCGCAAATTTACGCTGATCACGCAGTCTCACACGGCAAACTGACAACATGCGCATTCGATGCACAACGTTACCGAGAGATTGGATCAAACAAACGCCATACCAGCCGCTGCCAGGTCTGCGAACGCTCTGATGTGGCTTATTTGAATTCTGACAAGTAGGGATATCGCTGAGAAATCACCAACAACAACATCATTGGCTTCTACCTGCTTCCAGTTGCGACGAATGCTCGGCAGGAGGGGCAACAATTGGCATGCGATACCGCCGGAGATGTCGCGTCGATGATTCGCCCGGTGGCCAAACGACGTGGGCAAATTCAATGGCAGAAAAAGCTCTGGTGGAGTTCACGTGAGATATGTGACGATTGCGCAATATACGCTAGCTGGAAGTGTTGGTCGTTCAATGTTGTGTATGGCCTTACAGAAGGACAAAAAGGCATCATCGACCCCTCAACTTCTTCTCTCCCTCATACTACCGCTCCAATATCCCAATTTGCACCTACAAGATACCCAATCTTCTTCCGCAGCCTCACTCAGACACTAAACCACACAACCAGGTATGTTGGCTGTTTGCGACCTACCCCGCCACCCCGCATGTTTGCGCAAATCGCTGGGACCTGAGCTAACATGGGCGCAGAAGACACAATGAGCGACCGACCAGAGCCTCTCCGCCTGGGCAGCAAGGCCCCCAACTTCAAGGCCGAGACCACCCAGGGCCCCATCGACTTCCACGAGTTCATCGGCGACAACTGGGTCATCCTGTTCTCGCATCCCGAGGACTACACCCCAGTATGCACAACCGAGCTCGGCGCTTTCGCAAAGCTCGAGCCTGAGTTCAGCCGTCGCGGTGCTAAGCTCATCGGTCTCTCTGCCAACACCGTCGACTCGCACGATGGCTGGATCAAGGACATTGACGAGATCTCCGGCAGCAAGCTCAAGTTCCCCATCATTGGCGACAAGGACCGCCAGATCGCGTTGGCATACGACATGTAGGTAGAGATTCTTTGCGACTAACGACTCGCGACGTAGCTAACGGCGTAAACAGGATCGACCACCAAGACGCGACCAACGTCGACAGCAAGGGCATTGCCTTCACCATCCGCTCCGTCTTCATCATCGACCCCAAGAAGACCATCCGCCTCATCCTCTCATACCCCGCCAGCACCGGCCGCAACACAGCTGAGGTTCTCCGCGTTCTCGACAGCTTGCAGACTGGCGACAAGCACAAGATTACCACCCCAATTGTAAGTTTTGACTGTACGGAGTGCATGTGCCACATATACTGACTTCATACCTCTACCTCAGAACTGGATCCCTGGTGACGACGTTATTGTCCACCCAGCCGTCAAGACCGAGGATGCGAAAACCATGTTCCCCGATATCCGCATTGTCAAGCCATACCTTCGATTCACCCCCTTGCCTAAGGAGAAGACCACCGCTGCTTAGAGGGCCCGATACCGACGACGCGACACCACGAAACGAGATAGCCCTAGGGCTCATACCCGTCTTGTAGCGGTGGACGCTGGGCGAGATTGGATAATGAGAAGGCGCGGTAGATAGGCCAGTCTACGATTAGATACGAAAAATGAAATGGCATGATCACGACAGAAGTCTATTCATGTGCTCGTCCTTTTCAGGTCGCTTCTGAAGATTGTGATGTCGTAGAGCGGTCTACGCTGGACTGTTAGCACCTGTGGTAATGATACCGCATGAGTAACAGTCGCATTTTGAAAAGCGTGCCGCTGGTGTATGATATGCCGCGAGCCTACCTAGTTGGGTAGGCACGATTAACAAGCATCTGCGATGCCTACGAGGATACTGACTTAGGCTTCCTGTGATTTTAGACACCCAGATGATGGTTTCATGTATGCGCGGCTTGAAGATCGAGAGACTCGGAACACATGAACGGCAGTATTGATGATTCCACGTCGCGTTCAATTGGTGTTGCTGAATGCGGCCCCCAACGCGCCGCCACGTCCTTGGGCGTACGCCGCATGCCTGCTGATGAGCAGCCCACCTTCGTTTCTCTGCCTCGCATGTACAGTTTCATCGTATAATCAACAAGATGCCAGAGATTACGTTCGTGTTTGGTCCGCGCAATAGCTTTTTCTTCGACTGTCGCCAAACATGGAAGTTGTGAGTTGCGCATGCTTGTAAGGAAGGCGCGGCTAACAGGGGGCAGCCACGAGATACCGCAGACGCTGCGCCAGTTGTTCAAGAGCTCTATGAGCAATCCATGGAGAGTCGCAAGCCCTTACTGTCTCGCGCTTGCTCCTCAGGGAGACTCTCCGGAGCCGATTTGGTATATCGGGTGTAAGACGTTGGATGGGGAGGACAAGCTCTGTAAGTAGCACCCCGGCCCAGATTCCGCGACCATGAAACGCATGGCGATGACGGCGCGGGCCAGCCCCATCGCACCTACCAAGCTAATCAGAACCAGTCCACTCACGGACCTACTTCGATCTCAACTATCCCGATCTCGCGCAGTGGCTAAAGTCGTTCCCGAATGCAGCCAGCTTGTGCTTCGTCACCTTCGGCCAGAAGTTCAGCTACTTCGCGTGCGCACCCGGACAGGGCTCGATATGGGCTGCTATACCTTCAGGTCTCGAGGATAGAGTGAAGAAGTCGCTGGTTACGCCGACTTGTGTTGGCCTTGGGATGAAAGATGCCTGGTTCGTTCTGTTTGCGGATGGGCATCTGGCATGGAACTTCAACGGCTATTACACCGGATTGAACAAGATCTTGATGGAATCTGCGCCGGGTGCCGTCAGTGTGAGTTCAGGAAACAAGCCTTCATGATGACATGAGTACAGCGCTGATGCAATCCAGTATGTCGCCATATCGCCGTACAACAAGCAGCACTACTTCATCGCCTTCACAGACCGCCGCGTCAACTACAATTTCCAGGGAGGCCCTTCGGAATGGACGCGACTCATGAATCAAGTCTTCGAGTTATGGGCCGCTGAAAGCAAACGATTGCAAACTGCCAACGCGCCACGTTGGCATCAGCCGCAGGTACAACCGTATGTGCATGCGCAACCATCGCCAGCGCAAACATATCTTCACCCGCAGTCGACACACATCGTCAGTGCTTCTCGACTACCAATGGCCATGCCGGTGTCGCCAACCTCAGTGCCGAGTACGCCGGCGCCGATGTACGTCAGCCCTGTGCAACAGAACGCCGTGCCAAACATCGCGCCCGTGGAGAAGACGCCGGAGTATGGTGTTGTCGATGTACCAGTAGAGCTTCCTGGACAAGCAATGTTTTCCCCGGCATATACGATGGCGAGTGTACCAGAGAAAGAACCAGCGAAGAAGAGGAGAAGCTTCTTGTCCAAGCTGTTCTAGGCCAGCATCATGAACATTGCTGGACTCCGCCTCGCTTCTCACCATCTCCAGTATCTCATAATGCTGTATGATAGCGCTCAAGAGTCGCAGCTTACATGTGCCGGCATCCTCGTCGGTGCGACTACACATGCAGCTCCGTACTTACCTTCCTGATTGGCGCGCACAGCCGAACGTGCAGGTGCACCTCTGCCGATCACCACGGACATGCATATCCACCACAAGAGTGGGAGAGCCATCACGTCACGATGCAGGGTCCTTTCGGTGCTTCTTATGATACGCCCTATCATTGCTAGCTTTCAGAACACTGCCAGCTGCAATATACAAGTAGAGCTTCTCCCCGCTTTCGATTCCTTGCGCATTCATCCTGACGGGTAGTCACCAGCATCATGGCAGCTATTGCAAGAGCTTGGAAAGTGGGGGCGCTCACAACGTTCCTTCTGGCAACGATAGCGCATGCTACTGAACCCACGGTCACAGTGCTGAATGGAACATACGAAGGCGTACGTCTCCCTTCGTTCAATCAAGACATCTTCTTAGGCATCCCATATGCGCAAGATACGGGAGGTCAGAATCGCTTTCGCATACCACAATCATTGAACACGACATGGAATGGCACGCGCCCTGCCAAATCGTACGGAGACGCCTGTCCGGACCCGTCGGCTGCCAACTTCAGCATGAGCGAAGACTGCTTGAGCATCAACATCGTTCGTCCAGCGGGTCTCTCACACAACGACTACGCAAAGCTGCCCGTTGCGCTATGGATCCATGGAGGAAGTTACCAAGTCGGCACCAGTGCGCTTGCGAACTACAACCTGACATACATTGTTCAAAGAAGCGTGGAAATCGGCCAGCCCATCATTGCAGCCAGCATCAACTACCGCAAAGGCGGATGGGGCATGTTATACTCGAGAGAGATCCAAGGTACCGGCCAGACGAACCTTGCGCTTCGAGACATGCGCAAAGGACTTGCTTGGATCTCAGAGAACATTGAAGCATTTGGTGGTGATAACGACAGCGTCACTATCTGGGGCGAGTCTGCTGGGAGCTTCGCAATAGGTCAGCTACTCATGTCGTACGGCGGCCGAACAGACAACTTGTTCCACCGCAGCATCCAAGAGTCTGGGTCTGCGGCGACGGCATGGTACAATGGCACAGACTGGTACCAGCCCATTTACGACGACATCGTCGACAAAGCGAACTGCACCGATGAAGTCGACACGCTCGCCTGTTTACGTACCCTGCCATACGAAGCCATCTTCCCCCTCCTCGCAGCCCCAAGCCAAGGCCCAGGCTGGTACCCCATCGTCGACGGCGACATCATCCCCGCCTACCCCACCGAACTCCTCGCCTCAGGCCGTTTCGCACACATCCCGCATCTCTACGGCACCAACTCGGACGAAGGCACCGACAACGCACCAGCCGGCGGCGTCATCAACACCGACGAAGACCTATACGCCTTCCTCGCCAACAGCACAGGTTTCGACTTCCCCGACGCCGTCATCAAGCGCATCATGGAATTGTACCCCAACGACCCCACCATTGGTATCCCGCTCAACACCGGCGTCGAGCTCTTCGCCGAACAAGGACTTCAGTATAAGCGCATCGCCGCCATCATGGGCGACGTCTTTTACCACGCCACCCGCCTCGCCGACGCCCGCGCTTACTCCAAGTACGCACCTACGTACATATACCGCTTCAACACGCTCCCCTGGCAAAACAGCAATACTGCCAGCGAAGGCGGTAATCCGCCCGCTTACAAGGGCGTCGCGCACTTTACTGAGGTGGCTTTTGTCTTTGCTAATCCGAACTTTTATGGCCCGTGGGTGGAGTACAAGAAACTAGCTGAGCAGGTAAGTGCGCAGTGGATTCGCTTTGTGGCAAAGGGAGATCCAAATGGTGAAGCTCTGCCCAGGTGGCCAAGGTATAATGAGAGTGGGAGGGGGCTGGATCTTGTTCTTCAGGCGGAAGGGAGGGGGTATAATGGGAGTTATGTTGAGGAGGATGTTTGGAGGATTGAAGGGAGGGAATTTCTCACCAAGTGGGCGAGAAGGAGGCATGTTTAGAGTAGGCAGGTGGTGGGGAGAGAGGGTGTTGTGAAGATAGAGACTTGTTTAAGATGTGTAGTAGTGTTTGCACTGCGAGCAGATAGGAAGTTGTAATAAGTCTAAGTTATTAAGTATGTTTATTGCAAGTTACAAGTCTAAGAGAGAAGCAAGTGAAGTAAGAGATGTGATAAGACATTAAGGCAGAGAAGAAGCAAGATGTTCGAGCAAAGCAAGTTAAGAAAGAAGCTAAACATAGAAGGTAAGTAAGAACTCTGATTAAGAAAGAAGCAGACGAAGCAAAGAAGAAGAAGAAGTCAAATGAAGTCAAAGAAGAAGTTGAGTGAGGTATATGATAGATTCATTGATGCTGAGGCGAAACCTTGAAGTATCCTTGAGAAGAAGTCCAACCCAGTACCCAACCATTCCAACCAAGAAGCGACCACCAGATGAAGCCCATATCCACCAGCCATCAGCAAACCAATGTCCAAAACCTCAAAGCTAATCTAAACCCCAATCCAAACATCCACCACCGACTGCAGGCACTCTCACCTCAAGTCTCTCATACCTTTCGCATGCTGCATTTCTCGAATTGATCCAAACTCCTAAGAGCCGCCATCAAGAAGTGTGCAGGGGAATGATCTGGGCGAGCAAGCTCAAACTGGCGAAGAACTTCAAATCTCCAAGGTAGGCCCAGCTTAGTACCGAAGCACCATAGACTGTCTGTCCTCCAGCACCTTGATTTGAGAATGAAGTCTCCTCCAGATCATGTCCACCAGCCATGGGGCCTTGCCGAAGCAAGCCTTGTAGGCCCAAAGCGAGATCCCATCGAGATCTGTAAAGTCCGTCTCTTACTGTCTTTGACCATTGTATCCTGCACTTCCCACCAGTATGTTTCCACCACAAAGTATCCAATCCATCCAAACAACTTGACTTTCGTGCGACCCGGGTTGGCGTGAACATGCGATGCTGGCCTGAAGAGGGCTTGAGGTGGATGCTGAAGAGCTCGATCGTGGCCTAGAGTGTAGGGCTTTAAGGAAGTTGGCGACGATGTGAGCGAAGGTTGGAGCGATCCGAAGCGAAGTGAGTGTGGTAGAAGGCGACAGCAAGCTGAAAAAGGTTAGAAGACTGAATAAAGAAGAAGCCAGGAAGATACTTACCATGTTCAATGGCGAAGGAAGATGTTGGAAGAGTGACCATGGCTCATGGTGAAGGAAGGTTGATCATCGATGGATGTGATGTTGGACCAAGGTTGGATGAAGTGTTGATGACCAAGTAAGGTGTGAAGATTGTTGAGCAGTGATGTTGATTGAAGAAGAGTGAAGCTCAGTAAGGTTGGAAGTGGTCGACATATATGAGTGAAGGTATGATGTCATGTGACAAAGTGGAAGTGATCCAAAGTAGTGATGAAGTAATGAGCCATGGTCGAAGTGATTGAAGGAAGGAAGTATGTTGAAGAAATGAGTGACAAATAGTTGGAATTCTTCGAGTTGGGGTAAAAGATTGTGGGGTTTGTGGTAAAAGAGTGTAGGTCGGAGGGGGGAAACGGGCTTTATATGTGCCTGCCAAGAGCCTGCGCACAGACAGGCGCTAGGAGCCGGCGCTGTTGCTCCGGCCGGTGTTCTGCCGGCGACAGGAAGGTCGGAAACACCAGGTGAAGGCGGGTATAGAAGGGCTTCGTCGGCGGTGGAAGGCCGCGCGGGCGTTGCCAGGTGAGAGTGAGAAACCACCAAGTCAAAATACGCGAGGTGGAGTGGCCCGTGCGGCCTCACCGGGTAACGAGAACGCCAAATGCCAGCAGGTCAAGCAGAGACTGAAAGATGTGATGGGTCTGCTGACATGTATGAAGTCAGTGACGGTGTGCTTGACGGGCAGTGCGATAGTACACAGGTATCGACTGACTGAGCGAACGTGGAGATACGCGAGAACATCAACAGTTCATATTGAAAAGTGATTATACGATGTTTTTGTAGCAAGTCTTGAAGAAAGTGTGCTCAGTGCGTAAGACGTATCAAGTCTAACCTATTGATATAGCAATCGTGGAAGTGCGTGGCGAGCTTTCGAGAGCCAAAGCTGTGGCATCCGCCCAGATGATGCTTCTTAGATGCTTCTCGCTGTGTTAAGTGAGCCATGAGTGCCTCGGAGCAAGCTCAGCGAAGATGTTGAAATTGCTTAGAAGGAGCTGAGCTTGCCAACCTCGATGGGTGAGTTTCTAATGACGACAGCAAGCCCAGACTGACGGTACACGCCCGAGACGGCGAGCAAAACACTCTTTGAATGCGCAAGATCAACGCCGCTATACTCATGGCCCATGAATTCGACTGAGTGCTTCCGCGACGCCGGTACTCACCTGCGGCGGACGAGACCAGTACGCATCCACGATCTGAGTCGAGAATGAGCAGCGACAAGGTTGAGCGCCGTAAGCAATTGTTAGAGGTGCAAGTATCAGTCTCTTTCGATGAGTCAAGTCCCAACCCAGCGCTGCCTAGCTGCTACTCATTCGCGCCGACTAAGAGCATCATGTCGAAGCTGTTTCATGCAACATAAGAACGCGGCGGTTAGTTTCACTTCGCATACGACACAAGCAGCTGTAGCGATGCGGAATCGGTTCGGCAGATGGAGGGCGAGCATACGAGACGAGACATCGACCAGACGCAATTGGGCCTGCGCGGCGGGAAGACACCGTACGTCACATCTGGGAAGACAAGCAGGCGATAAGGATAACGTAGGAACACGGATGTGAATTGAGAAATACATGATATTGCTAGTCGTAGAATATGTGGGAGAAGCAGAGCGCCATAGACAGCAAATGTGTTGACAGCGAGAATATATAATCTTGTGGCCTACACTGTCCTTGTACCAGAACCTGAGCGCATGACTGGCACTGGCGGTCAACTAACAGCTGCTATACAGAGCCTGATCACTTTAGAGGGCTGCCGTAGAGCTATAGGAGGCTTC